AATATACAAAGAATCTGTAACTTTTGGCTATTACTTCGTTACAATAACTTTTGACTAATACTTCGTCATAAACTTTCTTAATGCAAGTCGATGCAATCACCCTGTTTAACTAATGCTATATCATTATATATTTGTTTCACATAAATGGTTCTAAAGCTGATCTACGCATATTCGTAAAGCGTTAAACTTTATGTATCATAACTTCAGTCAAGTAAATAACTTTTAAATAATTTGCATTAGGTGGTTTACGTTGAAAAAAAAAGACAAATTTTACAAGTGACAAAAATATCTTTTCAACTGTGTCTTGAATATCTAAATTAATTTTGTGATTTTGGAAGCTTTGTTTATGTAAAACACCATTATCATAGAAATTATCTATTCCGAATTTTAAATGATACTATCCTCAGACCTGAAAAAATGATTTTAAATCTATTTGTGTCACTAATATAACTTTACTATTTTTGTTTCGCTTTTTTAATTTCAAAATAAAACGTTCATAACATAATCATATCCTTTTCTACATATAGTTTCTCTTTGAATTTGTAAGATATAATGATATAATGATGTTTTAAATTTTCATTGAAGTCAACAAGAAATAACACGATCTTTAATAAAACGTTTCATGCATCATCAATGCATGGAGGAAGATATTGTTTTTTTACTTCATTGAAATAACATAATACATTAAATTTTTTAGATTGAATAAATATTCAATAAAACCATTTAAGCATCAAAATGTTAAATATAGAAACTTTATGTAAGGTAAATTCATATTGGTAACATTAGTGGCATTACAGTTTTGCGAATACATCGGTACCGTATTTTGTCTAAGGTTCTTACTCTCCGGGTCACGTAAATCAGTGGGCAGAGCGATCCCTTCTATGGCGTAATGCCAATTGCTGCCTTTATGACAAATTACTGCATGTTCAGCGCTGTAATCGTATCTGTATGTAATAAAGATATCAGTACGGTGTAGCTTCTATATTGGGGTAACGTTTTATTTACTCTCTGGAACGAATTTAACGGGTTTAATCGCTAAATCACCGTTATGGAAAAATTGGTGTTCAGAAGTGCAATATGTAAATATGTTAGAATGTGGTAGAGTGTTAGTTTTTCATAATCAAAAGGATTGCACATAAATTGACCAAAAGATTTTGTGATTTTTAGATGCAAATTCAATGTTTTTAATTCAGTTTGTCAGTGAAGGTGAAATAATATTTCTTTACTTTGTAGTGATTGTTTATATCTTATTAGTATTTGTTATAGATGTGGACATCTTGAAAGGCTGGCGGTTAATAAGTTGACTTCTTATGTAATATATTGTTCCATGTATATGTACATCGATTCTCTGTCGATTATCGATTATATTTAGACCAAAATCCAAAATATACCAAAAGAGTTACGTTCTTTTGAAAGGAAAAATAAAAAAAGACCAGAAATAGGTATTGTTTGTTAAGAAAAATGAACAGGATTTAGTAACATTTTCTTTATCTCTGCACATTGTAAGAGAATCGATATTATACCTTTAAAAAACAAAAAAGTTAAAAACACACGATATTATTGAAATATCTAGAATAAAATTATTTAAATGCGTTTTTGCCTGTATCTATATTAGGACATGTGAAGAAAATAATAAATAAATACGCTGAAACACGTATCTTTATATAACATGTTGAAATGATACAAATTAGAGACACGTGTAAAAAATCAAACTAGGTCATGAACTTTTTCTAGCAGATAAATTATAATTGATTTCTCAGTTGACCACCTGTTGCATGAGTCCACCCTTATCTCAGCTGTAATGGATCTTACTAATTTATCAGCTTAAACGATTAAAGCGTTCGATTATAAATAAGCGGGGCCATTTCCATACTGTTTTAATCTTTTACACCTGTATGTTATGCTATAACAGCGGGTTGCAAGATCTCTTCATTTCATCGATTCATTAAAGTATATCGTTTTGCGTGCGTCTGCGTATTTCGTTTGGTAAATCGTGCGTGTAACGTTCGTTCGTATAGCGTGTAACGTGCGTGCGTATCTTCCATAGCGTGCGTTTTACGTGTAAACTGCAACGCTCACCCTACTGTAAGCTATGCAATCATATTATGAGAGTTATTTTCTGGTTTATCTTATTTACATTAAAAGTGTAAACTGCTTTTATTTCATTTCAAACTTTGTGATCAATAAAACAAATGATGAAGGTAATACTTGATTGTATTATTAAATAATTAAAATAATGATAATTCAATATTCGTTTTTAGATAAAGGATTTTTAATCTGTAGAAACAAACTTATAGAAGAAATGAACAAGCTATCATACTATACCTAGATTATATGATGTGAACGATAATGTTATTGATTGCCTGACAAACTTCATGTCATCGTGTTTTCCTTATGTTTCTTGTTTCATTTTTAGCAATTATCAAACATTTCTCGAACAATAGATTGCACTTGTATGGTACCAAAAAAAAAATTAAATAAGCGATCGAGGAAGTTAATTTTTAGATACGCTTTTTTAAATAGTAGAAATAGACTATGTAAAGCTCTCATTAATAAATACTCGTACACGATTTGATTTTATCCATTGAAACTAGTCTGGAAATAGATATTTCGCAATAGGTGAAATATTAAAACTTTCATGTCACATTGTGAAAATTAATCCTACAGAAGCAAACTTGAATTTTCTATTTATTACATACATATTCTCTTGTTCGTCATTAGAATTCGAAAGATTTCCTCTTTAATTGTGTGATTTTGGCTGTCTTTGGAAGAATGTAGTCAAAACGGAAACTAGTGACAAAACGGAAATATGTTTTACTGCTGTGAAAATAAAGTCTGAAAGTAAAAACGGAAAGTAAACTTCTCATTTTTATGTATTACTTAGCAATATTTTTCATTATTTCAGAATTTATATTCAGGAATATATAAGAATATAATAAAACGGGATATCAAGGGATATCTTTTTTCTATATTTACGGGATTATCATTCATAGAGTGATATGATTATAAATCTTTCAACAGTAGACACCGGAAAGTTATAATTATTTTATTATAATTATATAATCCATTAATTATAGAAATATATAAATTAAATAATGAATTTCTGTTTATTACATTATTTTTCTCTGCTTAAAATGATAAATGATTACAGCTATTACATCCCTCTTTTTTGTCTATTTTTAATATGCAAATTGACAAAGAAGTTACGACACCAGTGAACTACGGAAAATATGTTACACTGCAGTAAAAGAAAACTCATACAGAGAAAAATACAAAAAAAACCCACATTTCATTGCATCAATAGTATAGTATAGTATAGTATAGTATAGTATAGTATAGTATAGTATAGTATAGTATAGTATAGTATAGTATAGTGTAGTGTAGTGTAGTGTAGTGTAGTGTAGTGTAAGCATGAGAATTAAGATCAACATGTTTATCGATTTTTTAGCTAACCTGAGGACAATGTCCTCAAGGTGAGCTTTTGTGATGGCCCATTGTCCGTCGTCCATAGTCCGTGCGTGCGTGTGTCAACAATTTTTGTAAACAACTACTCCTCCTTAAGAACTCAGGCAAATTTGTTGAAACTTTGCAGGGATGTACCTTGCATGAAGCTCTACCAAAGTTGTTCAAATGATTAAATTCCATAAAGAAACGAACCCAAGAGTTTTTTACAAAAAAATTAAAAAAGAAATTTTCTTGTAAAAAAATAAAAGAGCTAAGATAGAAACATCTGCTAGTTGATGTCTACCATGTTTGTTGAAATAAAACCCCTAGGGTCAAAATTGGGACCGCCCTCGGGTTCATTGATTTTTCTTGTATGTTATTCAAATCCGGTGTTTTTCGCGATGTTTCCATTTTTGCTTTTTCTTCCGGGATGAAAAAGGACTCCACTTTAACCTATTTCTCAGGTGACCGATCCAGGGCCCAGAGCGGTCCTCTTGTATTAGTTTTCGATTTTACTTAAAGAATCAAACGTGTGCGTTTATTTGATAAACATATTTTTGTTCTTAACGATAAAATGACTTAACAATAAGATGAAATATTTAACAGATAAATGTCATCAGTTTTATATAGCCCATTATTTTTTTATTTATTGTATGTAAATTTATATTGGATTTTTTTCAACTTAAGTATGAAAACATGTATTGAAAAAGTATCGAATATTTTCATTAGTTTTAAACCCTCCTATCTCATATTTAAAAAAAGTATTGACCGTCTACAATCTTTTATAAGGCTTTTGTTATCCACATAAATGACAGTAATATTGACTGGTTTAAAAGTATGAGAGATATTCTTCTAATTAGTATGTGTATTCATCAAATAACCTAGAACAACGATTTCCAACATTATCCCTAGAAAACAAACGCATAAAAGATAGCAGAACGGACAATTACAATGTTCTTCGTCGAAGGTGTAAAACATAGAGGTATTATTTACCTGTGTCAACCAACCAAAGACCCTGTTCTATCTTAATTCTATAAAGCACAATTGATAATTTATAATAAATTTATATATATAAAAGATAGGGCTATTATTCCCCTGTGTCAACCGACCAAAAACCCTGTTCCATTTAATTTTTTCAAAGCAAAATTGATAATTTATAATGAATTTATATTATATGTAGTTTTTAAGATAAATGCATTATTTACACAATACAAATTTCTATTTGTTCACAGTCTTAGAACATTCTATTTGACAGTATATCATTTTATAAATGTCATTTACTGACTTTTCAAATTTTAAGTATAGCTCTTGTTAGATGAGTAAAGTTGATTTCCACAAAAGCTATAGAACTTTAGGGTCAAGAAATGGATTGCAGGTGAGCAACTAAGGAAAACTCTAGTTCACTTGTTATTAGCATTGTAGACTTGACGCGGTAATAAATATATCATTTTTGTTCCTTTCACTTAAATTTAGAAAATTTTTAATATAAAAATAGTTGACATTTGAAAGACATTGTAAGGAAGCAAATATAACTTTATTGTTTTAACCTTTGTAGAATGACAACTTTAGATGAAGAGAGATATTGGAGACATATACTGCTGCTTGGCGAGGGTACTTCGTTTGTATTACAGAGCCTTGTATTGCAAGAAGTAGGCAAATCTGGAAAAACCTTAGAGAATCTGCTTCTTAATAACAAAAATCAATTCAATAGCATAATGAAAAAACAACGAGACATTCTTTACCCAGCACCTTTGACAGCAAATTCAGATTTAACTAAATGGAATTTGTCGCTCCTTCTGCTTGTCGTGAAGAGATTATTCTATCCAAAACTACCAGATGAAATTGTATCACATATTCAGGCATTAAAGGCCTATAGAAATTTTATCCAAGAACATCATCATAAGATGTCAATGGACGACACAGAGTTTTTAACAAGTCAGACACATTTACAAGAACATTTGCGAAACATTGCAGGATACCTCGACCAAACTGATCAAATTGATGACATTATCAGACGAATTGCAACAGGCAATAATGACATTGAATCAGTAGTTCGATATGTCAATGAAATTCACGCAAAACGTAATTCTGTAGAAAGTGCTTTTAAAACTATGAAAGGTACGTAGATTTTATTGAAAAACTTCTATTAATAAAATTTATCAAGCTTCAATCTTTTAAAGCATGACACATTGGAGCTTAAGAGACTTGTACATATATGTTTGCTTGAGTTTTTATGCTCCCCAAAAATTTCGGGGGAGCATATAGTCGGCGCCCTGTCCGTCTGTCCGCCCGTCCGTCTATCGTCCGTTGTCTTGTCCGGAGAATAACTTGAAAACCCTTGGAGATAATTTGTTTAAACTTCATACAGTGGTAGAGGGCATTGAGGGGGAGTGCAGTGTCAAAGAACCATAACTCTATTTTGCCCGGTTTTTGAATTATCTCCCCTGATAGAAAAATCTTGTCCGGGACATAACTTTAAAACTATAAGAGATATCAACATGAAACTTTGTAGGTGAATAGATCTCAATAGGTAGATGTGCAGTGCACAAGAACAATAACTCTTTTTGTCCTTATTTGGAGTTATTGCCCTTTGTTAATTTTAACACCTTGAACTTTGATCGGAACATAACTCTAAAACTATAAGAGATATCAAAATGAAACATTGTAGGTAGATAGATCTTATTGAGACAAAGTGCAGTGCAAAAGAACCATAACTCTGTTAAGCCTCATTTTTGAATTATCTCCCCTTATAGAAAAATCTTGTCCGGGACATAACTCTAAAACTATAAGAGATATCAACATGAAACTTTGTAGGTGGGTAGATGTGCAGTGCATAAGAACAATAACTTGTTTTGTCTTAGTTTTGGAGTTATTGCCCTTTGTTAATTTAAACACTTTGAACTTTGTCCGGAACATTACTCTAAAACCATAAGAGATATCAAAATGAAACATAGTAGGTAGATAGATCTCATTGAGAAGAAATGCAGTGCAAAAGAACCATAACTCTGTTAACCTTCATTTTTGAATTATTTCCTCTTCTAGAAAAATCTTGTCCAGGACATAGCTGTAAAACTTTAAGATATGTCAACAAGAAACTTTGTAGGTTGATAGATCACATTGATTAGAAGTGAAATGCAAAGAACAGTAAATCTCCCATACCTAATTTTGGAATTATTGCACTTTGAACTTTTTCCACGGACATAACTACAAGAGGTGTACTTTCCTGTGTCCAAAACCTATCCGGGGAGCATCACCCGGCTCAAACCGGGCTCTTGTTTTACTAGGCGACTCATGTTCTTTCTTGATCTCGAAAATATTAACTCAAATATTATGATTAGAAATCATAAAATATGTACCAGGAGCATGCCAAAAGTTTGTTATATCTGAACAAACAAAAAACAAAGCAAAAAAAACTTAGCGAGTTAGATTTCTTTATGAGAGTCATTTCCTTCACGCGGGGAAGGTCATTATATTTTGAGTCATAGTAAATATTCTTAACGATATTGACCGGAGACATAAGTCTAATTTACTAAACCACAATATTATTTTTCTCCAACCGTGTGTTTACAGTTTATTGTTTATTTTAAAGCTGCCATCCCACACAAAACGGATCTAAAAATTATCAACATTTTTGTTTACAGTTATTAATTATGCATAAAAGTACAAAGAAATATATTTTTTGTCATATTTGAAATATATTACATAATGCCAATTTAGAAATATATGTTTTGACAGGATGCCAAGATAGGAATTCTCAGACTATTTCCAAAATCCGAAACATGTTCGAACGGAAAATAAAATATGATTTCACAAAAGGTAATGCTCCGTTTATGGATTATGTTGAATGCAAAAACCTATTTTATTCATATAAATTGATGAAAAAATAAAATTAGCCAAACAATAAAAATAACAAAAAACAAACTATTAATAAAGAATGTGTGGAATGTGGTAAGAGTTATATGAATATTGAACTGTTTTGGTCGGCCTGTCTGTCTGCAACTGAATATCATTCAATTTGTATTCCCGCCTGACGCGAGGGAACCCTACGGCGTCATACAGATAGTATTAATATATTTGTTTTCATCAAGTGCAAACTATAATAAACATTCTATTTTAAGAAAAGCAATCTTAAAAGTCCATATATGAAGAAGATTAGAGCAAAAGTAGAAATCGTCAAGTTATTGAAATAAATTGCATTTCGTTTAAAGTACATCAATTTCTTCATAATACTCGATTGTTTGTAGACATGTTGCGATAAATTCTAGTAGTGTGAAAACAGTGCCTGACAATGCTTTTTGTAGATATTTTAAATAGCTCTAATAATTAATAATTAATTTATGTTTGATAATATATACACTATCGTTATGAAATGGTCTTGTTTGTACCTTCCCATCTATTTTCAGAGCTGATAACAATTATACAAGCTGATTGTGAAAATGAGGATCAACACAAGAAAGCAAATTTACTCTTTCATTTTGTAAAGATTATACAAGATCAGAACTCATTTAGCGACGATGAGATTAAAACGATCATATCACAAAAGGTTGAATGGTACGGAGAAAATACATATGAATTAATAGATGACTTGATTGAATGGTTCACTGACATAGAGCCTTCGAATCGTCAGAGTATTTTAGCCTCCTATTGTAAGTATTCAGCATGTATAATTGAAATAGGAACGGAAACATTAATTACTTGTCAAGCTTGTTATAAACGATTTATATGTTAATTTAAAGTTTGCTATCCTTTTCTTTAATTTCTTTTAATTAGTCTAATAACATATCGCAGCAATATTCCGGACAAAATTATGAATAAAGTAATCACATAATGGAAGCTGACAACACTTGCTTTTGTTAACATCATTATCTAAGGATAATTAACGTGTATTAAAATAATGCATAAGTGTGTATAAAAAGGTTTACAACATTTTATTATTGCTGTTTTGGGGCATTCGGTAGCTTTAAAGTTTTTGACATTGTTGGTTTAACCTTATGGTAAAGGTTTCATTATAAATTATGAACTTCGTTACTAGCAAATTCATCACATGACAAAATGTACAGTTACGCTCCTATTGCATTGCATCCTCAATTTCAAATAGTCGTGAAAATTAAATTCAATATTTTTCTTTTGAAATGACTTTAAACACGTGCATGTTGTTTATGATTAATTATTATGAGTAACTTAAATCTGTAAATATCTACAGTACTTTGCTTATTCCTTTTTTTCCCAAGGGGACGACATTGGAACAGAAAGTAGCAAAAAGACGTTGAAGAATTTAGTGGTACCTCATGTCACTGATAAAGAACGGTTGATAAATGCTAGGAAAATGTTCAGGGAACAAGAGAGAAACAGCTACTTGGAAAATGTATCTAGGACACTTTCAGCAATGTTTGATGAAGACATTCGTGTTAGGACATATTTGGTTAAAGATCATATACTAGAAACTGTACAAGAAACAGGTTATATTTATTAATTTATTTGTGATTTCTTCGGGCTTCAAAATAGGATACAAATGGAACATGCAAATGAAACAATCTTAAACCAGTTTAAGTACAAATGTAAGATTGATGTTCGCATGAATGTGATAGATCTTCATTAGCTTAAAACTATTTAAACTGATGTACACATTATTAGATATATCACCAACCAATCAGCTCAATAAATGGAAACATTTCCAATGTGTTAATATATTGTTCGGCTCTAGATAATATGCTGTTTTAAAGGTCATTTATTATTGTTTTTCTTCAGGATTAGTGTCGCATTCTTCCGGCAATATGAACGTACATACTTTAAAGTCGCTTGACTATTCTGCTGACGAAGGGAAATTAGAAGATAAGCAGTGTACGCACCTGAAACTTCCTCAACTACATGACGTTAAAGGTATTAATTCCTTAGATAACTAAACAACAGATTGCAGTCTTATCCGATCAGAATTGTTTCAAAATCGACCCGCTTTACAATTGTTACATGAATGAGTCCCACACTTCATTATGACTAAAGTTCAGCTTTATTCATTTCGTACATATAGATCTAAAAACCACCGTATATGTTTTATATGTTTCGCCCTCATTGTGATTTGGATTTTCCGAGAAAGCTATTTTAGCCATACAATCAATTCGTTCTTTACAGATATGAATAAGACGAAGTGTCAAAGTATCGCTCTCCGTGGGAGTATTTTTGTTATAACAAATGTTTGAAGTATTTTTTTTACAAATCTAGCCAAAAAGAGATCATTTCTGCTTTTGATGAATAGGAAGATTATCCATAAATGGCAAAAATTATAGCGGAACGTCTATTTTCGTAAAAAATGAAACTGTAATTCTAATAAGTTAAAAAGTTGCAAAATAGTCTTAATCCTCACTATCTATCTGTCCGTCCGTCCGTATTTTTGTCCATCACACTTCCGTGTCCTATCTATAACTATCAAGGGAATTCAAAACACAAATGTATGTTATGATAAGACGATGTTTTATGTGAAACACCTGGATCCCTACCTATTCAAGGTCCATGGATGAACTGATTTTGAAAAAAATCTTGGCATTAGTGATTACCATTATGAGACGATGTGCGTGTCATGCGCAAAATTCAGTCGCCCAACTCCATGGCCAAGGTAACACTTAGGGGCCGAAGATAAACATGAAAGAATGTTATTAGACTAATTAAAAGAAAGCCCATTACGGCAAAATTGTAAAATGTTGCAGGCTCGGTTTGATTGAGCCTGTTCATTGACGGTACTGGAAAGTGCAAGTTACGGCCCACGCCCAACACAGATATGATAAAACCTTGTAAAGACATAGATGCTACTGTTTTGGTCAAAATATCCAGGAAATTGACAAGAAAAAATGGTTTTGATGATTCCTAGCTCAGGTCCGAAAATGTGTCAAATGGGGTTGAAATATAGGTCACACTGCCCACATGTGGAAGAAAAAATTCTAAAAATCTCGGGGCTACTGTTTTAGCCCAAATATCCTGGGAAAAGGACGGAAAGGATTTTTTGATGATTTCTACCTCAAGTTTGAATATGGATTTCTTGGGGTAAAAAATAAGGTCACATAGCCATACTATTGAACTACCTTTTTAAAACTCCAGGGGCTGTTTCAGTTAAAAAATCCTGGGAGTGGTCAGAAAGGTCAATTTCCTTATTTCTTGCTCAATATCATAAATGGGTCGCCTGGTGTTCTAGAATCTAGGTCACAAAGCCCTAATATAGATAAACATTGTTAACAGTCTAGGAGCTACTGTTTTAGACCAAACATTCTAGAATTTGTCTAGCTCAAGTTCTAATATGGGACATTGTGGGTAAAACAAACTTACATTCAGTTCAAATATGGAAAAAACTTGTTTACATTCTAGAGGTAATATTATTAGCCAAAATATCTTCAAAATTTGTCAGAAAGGTTTTTCATTTTCTAGTTAAAGTTATAGCTAAGTAATGTTGGTCATCTAGGATCAAATAAAGTCACAAAGACAGAATATGGAAGACTTTTACAGCTACACAGTTTTGCCCTCATATCCTGGATTTTTAACAGTGCTTGTTTGCATGATTTCTAGTTAAAGTTTCCATATGGGTCATCTGGTGTAAAAAAACTAGGTGACAGACGATACAAAAGGCATATATGGAACAAAAACTCTTGTTCTATTTCAGGCGCAGATATGAATGTTATGTATCAGTTTAAGTTTATGACATATCTGCTTTTCTTTCATTGCTAACGATATTAATTCAGAGTCTTGATAATCAAGTGAGCGATAGCAGGACCATCATTACTATTTTACGATTTCCTAGTAGTTGCTGCATTATTCTTGTATTCCTTATATATTTATATGTACCATAATATAATTGGTATCACTTTTCCTGTAATATTATTAACGATCATATAACATTGTATTCTACCATATAGAGGCACCGAAGATTGATCTCATAAGTTTGCCTGCCAATAAGGAAGTTCATGTGATGGTTGGTGAACCACTGAAGCTTGAAATTGGTAATTCAGGATCACCTACACCAAATGTGACATGGTTGAAAGATGGGTACCCTATTGAAAGAGTAAGTAACAATCGATTAAATTCATTTTAAATGGAAGAGGTGACCCTATTTTGCATATTGTAAAAAAATTGTACTTTCTATTGTTCTGGCATCTATTTATTGATGCCTATTTAAACAGTAGAGCTTATTGAATCAATTTGGTCATACTCAAGTGTTGTATGTTTGGATTACAATTTTGTTTTGAAAATTCAGAATTTATTTTTTATTCTCAGCTATTGTTATATTTTCAATGTAGTTTGACAAATGCTGAAAATGTTAATTTTGTTTTAAGATCCTAAGAATTTGGAACTAAAAAGATACAAAGCCAATATAGTATAAGTTTAGTACACAAAAAAAAAGTAAGGCAGCTTTGAATCTTTTATAGCATGAAGTAAAATTTTCACACCAATTTTCATTGAAAACTTATAACATTGCCTAATCATAAATTTTGAATACTGTAATTACAGGCGACAGAATACAATAATGATAATTTGGCTAAATTGGAAATTTCTAAAGCCGAACGTAATGACACAGGAAAATACCAAATTAAAGTGGAAAATGAGATTGGTTCGGACACAGCTGTTATCTCTGTCATTGTTCTTGGTAGGCTATAAGTCATTCACGAATTTAGAATATATATACGTCACCAGTATAGATCGCATGCATATAGTAAGGCCGAACTGATTACTGGCTGATGCTGAATGGCATTTTTTTTAAAGCCCCCAATATTTAGGGGGCCCGGGAAAATTAAACAAGGGAAGTGGGAAAAACCCCCTGAACAGAAATAAAACCCCTTTTATAATACCCAGCAGGGAAAAAAGTTTTAAATTTTGGGTTCGGGGTTTTGGGAAAAGCTTTTAAAATTAAAAAATGCTTCTTTATTTTATTTTTCATTAGGAAATTTTTAAAGTTATACCCCAAAGCAAAAATGCTCTTTGGGGTAAAGCTTTTATCGGTACATAAAATTTGTCTTTTGTTTTTTTGCATAGGGATGTTAATTTTCATTTGGGAAAAATTTAAAAATATAAAAGAGAAATAGCAAAATTCCAAAACTTTTTAAATACCTTTGTGGGCTAAACAAAGAAAAAAAAAATTCATTAAAACGGGAAAGGTACGGGTCCCTTGAGTATGTTCGGGTTTACAGAAACATTTAATATTCTAAATAGGTAACTTCAAAGAGCCAATCTACATTTATGTTTAAAGTATCCCTATCCTGAGGATAAAAATTGGGTCTAGCAAGGTGATGATTTCAAGGACCATAATAAAGTCTCTTAAAGTAATTAGCAAATCAGGAAACTTTTAACTCAAAATTTTTTTATTCAAAGTATTAATTTTTTTTTACCTTTTTAACTATTTAATAAAATACAAATATTATGGGACTTGATTTACAAAACGAGTAGGCCCCCGAATGGATGGATCTTACAAGGTTTTCCTGGAAAGGAAGTCCGTGGTGATGGGGTTTGGTGGCCCATTAAAGAGTGTCATTGGGTAAATTAGATCACCTACAACAACTGTGACAATGGTTTTGAAAAGATGGAAACATATTGGAAAGAGTAAGTAAAAAATTGATTAAATTTATTTGAAAAAGGGAAAGGTTTTTGTTTTTTTTTTTCTAATAAACAATTTGGGAAGTAAATCGTAATTTAATGTTGTTCTGACATCTGCGTATCCAGGTTATTTTCAAACAGTGTAGAGCTTGCACATCAGTTTCGGGTCATACCTTAAGTGTTTTTTTGGTTAGATTCAAACTTTTGTGTTTGTGAAGAATTAAGAAAAATTTTTTAATTATTCTCAATTAGTGTGTTAAACTTACAATGTAAGTTTGACAAAAAGCTGGAAAATTTATCAATTTTGCTTTTTAGATCCTAAGCAAATTTGTAAAAAGCGCAACAGATCCTACGGCCAAAAGGTGGATACAGAAGTTTGGGTAAAACAATAAAAGAGAGAAAAAGTAGCGGCGAAGACTTGAATCCTTAAATTGTAATCGTGTAACATTGCCTGTCAGATACATCATAACAGTTTACTGTAATAGGTTTTTTTAACAACAAATCAGCTTATGAGCACACTGAAGTGTTATCCAGATTTCAATGATAACAAAATTTCATTTATAAATCTGGTTGCTGAGGGAGTAAAAATGTTTTTAAAATTGTAAAAGGGGCAAAGTTTTTAAAGTTTAAGGAAAATATCCGATTTTTTGAGAGATTTTACACCCGGTTTTAAGGGGAGAAAAAGGCAAATATTTTGTATGGGCCCGTTTTTTTATGTTTTTTTGGGAAAAAGAGAATTTTTTTGGGTTGGGGGGAAGCGAGTTTTGTTGATTTGTTGAATTTGGTTTGGGAATGTTTTTTGGTGACTTAATTGATCGGGGGTTTTTTGGGGTTTAATTAGTTTTTTGGTTTTTTGAGTTTATTTTCGGGGTTTGTAAAGATTTTAATTGGGTTTTTGATTTTTTGGGGGAAAATTTTTGGTCTGGTCAATTTTATATTAGTTAAAATGCTTTGTTTTAAAAGGGATAATGTAAATATTTGGGTGCCTTTAAGTTTTATGTTTAGGTTTTTTGATGCCTGATTAGAAAGGGGTGAAGTTAATATTATTGGAAATGAATATTTGTTTTACTGTTATCTTGAGTTGTAAAAATATTCATTTTTGTGTTCTTCATTTTGTGGTGATTTTATTGTTTTTTGCTTGGTCATAGGTTGTTTAGAGCTTGGGCTGGCAGGGTTCTAGTTTTTTGTTTTCGTATAGAAGACGTATACGTGAAAAAGATTTTCGGTTAAGTGGTTTGATAAATGACGTGTGTTTTGTTTTGGGTTTAATAATGATCAGAGTTCTTTGTTTTGGGTGTAAATAATAATCAGAGTTTGTTGTTTAAATGTATATGTGGATTTGAGATAGAAAAAGATACAATTCCTAAAAAAATAATGTTAACTATACAAGTACATGCTAGTTTTCCAACTGAGAATATTTCAATTTTATGTCAGGCGGTGCTGCCCAGCCCCTATATCTTGGAAATTGGTTCTAGTATTTATTACTAAATCTTTCCTTAGATTAAATAACACCAAGGCAGTCATTTCTCCTGACATTGCCTTTAACCTAAACAGTAAATATAACATTGATAATAATTTTAGATATTGTAATTACAGGCAACATTATCCATTAATGATGGTGTGGCCAAATTGGAAATTCGAAAAGCAGAACGTAGTGACACAGGAAAATACCAAATTAAAGTGGAAAATGAGATTGGTTCAGACACAGTTGACATTTCTATAACTTGTACTTGGTAGGGTTTATTAAGTGATTTTGCATGAATGGGAAAATAGATCAATGTCACCAGTATGGAGCACATGTAAATAGTTAGGCTGAACTGAGTACTGGCTGATGCTAAATGTCTTTATTTTCATGCAGCAATCACTTTATACTTCACCAAAGAGCATATTAAATTTATTAAAAGTATCTTATCCTTGTTGCAAATTGTAGCAATGTGAGTGATTTCAGGGCCATAATGGCTCTCTAGTGTTATCAAGATAGGACTTTTAATATCAAATTAATTATTCCAATATGTAATTCAATGTTTATAATTTAATTTTTCATTCTTTTAATTACAAGCATATTACATTGTATTCTACCAAACAGAGGCCCCGAAGATGGATCTTACAAGTTTGCCTGACAAGGAAGTCCGTTTTTTTGTGGTTGGGTGAACCCATTAAAAAAGCTGATCTTGGGATATCAAAGGATCACCTACACCAATTGTGACCCCTGGTTTTTAAAAAATGGTAAACGTATTGAAAGAGTACGTAAAAATCGTTTAAAATCATTTGAAATGTAAGAGATGTCTTTGTTTTGCATCTAATAAACCACTTGTACTCTGTATTGTTCTGGCTTCTGTGTATCGAGGTCTATTCAAGCAATATAGAGCTAAACAAATCAATTTGATCATACTCAAATGTTTTATGTATAGGTTACCAATTTTGTTTTGAGAATTCAGACAATTTCTTTTTATGCCCCAACAAAGTGGGAGCATATACCGTTGCACTTGTCCGTCCGTCCGTACGTCCCGAAATCATGTGAACGCAACTCCTCTTAAACCGGATGGCAGATTTTGCTTAAACTTCCAGGGATGAACAACCCTAATGTGTAGATGGTAGTAAAGGAAGTAATTTTCGCTGCGACCAAATTTAACAGCATAATGGCCCTTTGTTGATTTTTTCACTATTTACTATGTAGAAAATTTGTGAACGTAACTCCTCTTAAACCGGATGGCAGATTTTGCTTAAATTTCCAGGGATGAACAACCTTTATGTGTAGATGGTAGTTAAGGAAGGAATTTTTGCTGCGACCAAATTTAACAGAATTATGGCCGTTTGTTGATTTTTAGTTTTCAACTTTTGGCACTTGTAGTCCAAAAAATATTTGACCTAGAGTCATAAGATTGACAGAACAGTGGCGTGTGGGGGCATCCGTGTCCTATGGACACATTTCTTGTTTTGTTCTCATCTATGTTAAACATATCATGTAGTTTTACAAATGCTGAAAATATCAATTTGCTTTTAGATACTAAGAATTTGCAAATGAACAGATCCAAAGCCAATATAGTATAAGTTTAGTACACAAAAAGAGAAATTTTAGATATTGTAATTACAGGCAACACAATCCATTAATGATGGTGTGGCCAAATTGGAAATTCGAAAAGCAGAACGTAGTGACACAGGAAAATACCATATTAAAGTGGAAAATGAGATTGGTTCAGACACAGTTGACATTTCTGTAATTGTTCTTGGTAGGTTATAAGTATTTCATGAATTGAGAATATATCAATGTCACCAGTATAGAGCACATGTATATAGTTAGGCCGAACTGATTACTGCCTGATACCAAATGTCTTTATTTTCATGCAGCAATCTCTTTACACTTCACCAAAGAGCATATTAAATTTAGTAAAAGTATCCTATCCTGTTGCAAATTGAAGCAAGGTGAGTGATTTCAGGGCCATAATGGCTCTCTAGGTTATTAAGATAGGACTTTTAATATCAAATTTATTATGTTTCATTCTATTAATTACAATCATATTACATTGTATTCTACCAAACAGAGGCCCCGAAGATGGATCATACAAGTTTGCCTGACAAAAAGGAAGTCCGTGTGATGGTTGGTGACCCATTAGAGCTGATCATTGGTATATCAGGATCACCTACACCAATTGTGACATGGTTGAAAGATGGTAAACGTATTGAAAGAGTACGTAAAAAATGTTTAAGTTCATTTGAAATATAAGAGATGTCTATGTTTTACATCTAGTAATCAACTTGTACTGTCGATTGTTCTTGTTTTGTATCCGGGCTTCAAACAGTTAAACTTAGCAAAAAGAATTTGGGCTACTCAAAAGTTTTATTAAGGTTAAAATTTTGTTTGGAATTGAAAATTTCTTTTTTTTCTAATTTAAATTTTAAAATTTATAAAAAATTTTAAAAATTAATTTTAATTTTAAATAACAGGCAAAAAAATCCATTAATCTGGGATGGGGCCAAACCCTTTAAAATTTGAAAAAACTGAATGTAGTTTCACAGAAAAAAAACCAAAAATTAAAAATGAAAAAAAGGTTGGTTCAGACACAGTTGACATTTCTGTCACTGTTCTTGGTAGGTTATAAATAATTCATGAATTGAGAATAGATCAATGTCACCAGTATAAAGCACATGTATATTGTTAGGTCGAACTGATTACTGGCTGATGCTAATTGTCATTATTTTCATGCAGCAATCACTTTATGTCCCCAATTTAACAATTGAGTCGAAAAATTCTAATGCTTTTCTATAATATCATTTTTCAGATAATATTTTCACACAAAGTACTCAATGGTGGGCTTTTATTGTACTATTGCCCTTCCATTAGTAAAAAATTCCAATTTTCAACTTGTGTCGCACGTAACTAAACAAGTATTTGACCTAGAGTCATGAAACCTTACAGGAATGTTGCTCAGCATGTGTAGTTGTGCACCTTGGTATTATCATGTGGATATTATAAGTATTTTTAGAGTAATTGCCCTTGACTTAGTAACAATTTCCAATTTTCAACTTGTGTTGCACGTAACTAAAACAGAATTTGACCTAGAGTCATGAAACCTTAATAGAATGTTGCTCAGCATGTGTAGTTGTGCACCTGGGTAATTTCGTGTGGATATTTTTAATATTTTTAGAGTTATTGCCCTTGATTTAGTAACTATTTCCAATTTTCAACTTGTGTTGCCCTTGATTTAGTAACAATTTCCAATGTTTAACTTGTGTTGCACTTAACTCAAAAATTATTTGACTTAGAGTCATGAAACATAACAGGAATGTTGATCAGCATGTGTAGTTGTTCACCTGGGTATTTTTGTGTGGATATATTTAGCATTTTTAGAGTTATTGCCCTTGAATTAGTAAAAAAATATTTTCAACTTGTGTCGCACGTAATTAAAAACGTATTTGACCTAGAGTCATGATACCTTACAGGAATGTTGCTCAGCATGTGTAGTTGTGCACCTGGGTAATTTCGTGTGGATTTTTTTAGTATTTCTAGAGTTATTGCCCTTGAGTTAGTAAAAATTTACAATATCAAACTTGTGTTGCACGTAACTCGAAAAGTTTATGACCTTGTTGGCCTGAAAGTTTACAAGAATGTTCGTCAGCATGTGTACTTATGCACCTTGTGGATTTTTTTCAGTATTTGTAGTATTTGCCTTTTTCTTTATAAAAGATATTTAGTTTTCAACTTGGGCACTTGTAGCCAAAACATATTTGACCCAGCGACATAAGATTGACAAATCGGTGGAGTGTGGGGGCACCCATGTCCTATGGACACATTTCTAGTTTCAGTTATTATTTTAAAGTTATAACCCTTCTAAGCACAAAATACTCAATGGTTAGCTTTTATCGTACATCAAAATGTCTGTTGTTTGTTGTCCATATGCATAACTTATTATCCATTTCTGAAAATTAAATATCAAGAGTATAGCTATTCCTCAAGTTAAATACCTTGTGGTGCTCAACAAAAGTAAAGTAAATCATTTTTATTTGAGGTACAGTGCTTGAGTATGTTCTGGTACAGAAACATGCTAAGTATGCTTATATAGAACTTCAAAGAGCATACTAAATGTAGTAAAAATATCCAATCCTTGATGCAAATTGTAGCAAAATTGGTGATTTCAGGGCCTAAATGCCTCTCTATGTTATTTAGATAGGACTTTTAACATCAAATTAGTTATTCCCCTATGTAATTAGAAGTATATGATTTTATTGTTAACTATTATTTACAATCACATTACATTATATTCTACCAAATAGAGGCCCCAAAGATTGATCATACAAATTTGGCTGACAACAAGGAAGTCCGTGTGATGGTTGGTGAACAATTGAAACTGGTCATTTGTATATCAGGATCACCTACACCAACTGTGACATGGTTGAAAGATGGTAAACGTATTGAAAGAGTAAGTAAAAACGATTATATTCATTTGAAAAGGAAAAGGTGTCATACTCAAGTGTTGTATGTTTAGGTTCCAAATTTTGTTTCAAGAATGAAGAAAATTTTCTTTTTATTCACAACTACGTTGTACATACACTGTAGTTTGACAAATGCTGAAAATGTCAATTTTGTTTTAAGATCCTAAGAATTCGCAATTGAACAATAGTATCAATTTAATTCCGAAAAAGAGAAAAGTAAGGCAGACTTGAATCTTATATAGCATATAGTAAACTTTTGCCACCAATTTATATTAAAAAATAGTAACATTGACCTAAAACTAAACAGAAAATATAACATTGATAATAATTTTGGAAATTACAGGCAACAAAATCCATTAATGCTGGTATGGCCAAACTTAAAATTAGAAAAGCTGAATGTAGTGACACAGGAAAATACCAAATTAAAGTGGAAAATGAGATTGGTTCAGACACAGTTGACATTTCTGTCACTGTTCTTGGTAGGTTATAAATAATTCATGAATTGAGAAAAGATCAATGTCACCAGTATAGAGCACATGTATATTGCTATTACGAACTGGTAACTGGCTGATGCTAAATGTCATTATTTTCATGCAGCACTTCATGTCCCTAATTAAAAAATGGAGTCCGAAAATTCTAATCAGAACAAGGTCCTTTCAAAATATCAGCATGGAAAAAGCTTTATTGATTCAGTTAGGTGAAATGCTATGATTGTCTATATCATTTTTCAGGTAATAATTCCACACAAAGTGCTCAAGGGTGAGCTTTTATCATACATGAAAATGTCTGTTGCTTGTGGTCCATACGCATTATGTCATCTTCCTTTCTGAATATCAAGAGCATAGCTATTCATATTAAATACCTTTTTCGTGCTCAACAAAAGTAAAGTTATTCATTGAACTTGAGGTACCGTGCTTAAGTATGTTCTGGTACAGAAATATGCTAAGTATGCTTATATAGTACTTCAAAGAGCATACTTAATTTAGCAAAGGTATCCTATCATTTTTTTTTTCAAATTGTAGCAAGTTTTAGTTTTTCCAATATGTTATTCAAAGTACATAATTTTATGTTTAACTACTATTTACAATCATATTACATTGTATTCTACCAAACAGAGACCCCGAAGATGGATCTTACAAATTTGTCTGACAACAAGGAAAGTCCGTGTGTTTGGTTTTGGTTTAAAAAAATTGAAGCTGGTCTTGGTAATCGGGGATCCCCTACCCCAAAACTGTGCCCAGGGTTGAAAGATTGGTAAACAAAATCAAAAAGAGTAAGAAAAAACGTTAAATTTTCCCTTTAAAATGGGGAAGAGTTTGTCTAGGGTTTTACATCTAGTTATCAACTTGTATTCTCTTTTGTTCTGGCTTTTGTGTATCCAGGTCTATTCAAACAGTAGAGCTTATAGAATCAATTTGGTACTCAAGTGTTGTATGATTATCAAGTGTTGTATGATTAGGTTACAAAATTTGTTTTGAGAATTCAGAATATTTCTTTTTATTCTTAACTAGGTTATACATCTGGTGTAATTTGACAAATGCTGAAAATATCAATGTCGCTTTTCGATCCTATGAATTCGCAATTGAACAGAAACAAAGCCAATATTGTATAAGTTCAGAACCCCAAAAGAGAAAAGAAAGGCAGAGTTAAATCTTGTTTAGCATAAAGTAAGATATTCACATCAATTTATATTGAAAAATTGTAACATTGCCTTATAACTCAACAGTAAGTATAACATTGATAATAATTTTAGATATTGAAATTACAGGCGCAAGAATCCAATGATGATGATGTGGCTAAATTGGAAATTCCAAAAACAGAACTAAGTGACACAGGAAAATACCAAATTAAAGTGGAAAATGAGATTGGATCAGCCACAGCTGACATTTCTGTCATTGTTCTTGGTAGGTTGAAAGTTATTCATGAATTAAGAATTTATATACATCACCAGTATAGAGCGAATGCATGCTGATTACTGGCTGATGCTAAATGTCAGTATTTTCATGCAGCAATCACTTTATGTCCCTAATTAAACAATGGAGTCGGAAAATTCTTATCAGAATAAAGTCCTTTCAATATATCAGCATTGAAAAGCATTATTGGTTCAGTTAGGTGAAATGCTATAGTTACATTATGTTTCTCTATTTTATGTTTTCAGTTAGTTTTTTCAAGTTATAACCCTTCTAAGCAGAAAATGCTCAATAGTGAGCTTTTATCGTACATCAAAATGTATGTTGTCTGTTGTCCATAGGCATAATTTATTATTCATTTCCGAAATTAATTGATGAAGAGTATAGCTATTCCGCATGTTAAATACCTTGTGGTGCTAATCAAATGTAAAATAAATCGTTCAACTGGAGGTACAATGCTTGAGTATATTCTGGTACATAAACATGTTAAGTATGCTTATATAGTACTTAAAAGAGTATACTGAATTTAATAAATGTATCCTATCCTTGATGCAAATTGTAGCAAGGTGAGTGATTTCAGGGCCATAATGGTTCTCTAAGTAATTAAGATTGGACTTTTAACATCAAATTTTTTATTCAAACTATATGATTTTATCCTTTACTTTTATTTACAATCATATTACATTGTGTTCTACCTAACAGAGGCCCCGAAGATTGATCATACAAATTTGCCTGCCAACAAGGAAGTTCATGTAATGGTTGGTAAACCATTAGAGCTGGTCATTGGTATATCAGGATCACCTACACCAACTGTGGCATGGTTGAAAGATGGTAAACGTATTGAAAGAGTAAGTATAACTTGATTAAATTCATTTGAAATAGAAGAGATGTCTTTGTTTGGCAACTAGTAAACAACTTGTACTCTCTATTGTTCTGGCTTCTGTGTATCTAGGTTTTTTCAAACAGTATAGAACTTAGCAAATCAATTTGGCCAAACTCAAGTCTTGCATTGTCTAGCTTAACAATTTTGTTTTGAGAACTAAAAAAATTTCTTTCTATTATCAAGTACGTTGTACATACAATGTAGTTTGACAAATACTCAAAATATCAATTTTGTTTTAAGATCCAAAGAATTTGCAATTTAACAAATCCAAAAAATAGAGAAAACAGAATGTAGAAAAACATTTAACAGAGCAAAATTGAAAATGTAACGAAGCCAAATATAGTATACGTTTTGTATACACAAGGAGGAAAGTAAGACAGACTTGAATCTTATATAGCATAAAGTGAAATATTTGCATCAGTTTATATTGAAAAATTCTAACATTGCCTTTAAACTTAACAGTTAAATTTAATATAACATTGATAATTATTTAAGATATTGTAATTACAGGCGAAAAGTTTGAAAAATGATGGTGTGGCTAAATTGGAAATTCAAATAGCAGAATGTAGTGACACAGGAAAATACCAAATTAAAGTGGAAAATGAGTTTGGTTCAGAGACAGTTAACATTTCTGTCATTGTTTTTGGTAGGTTATAAATAATCATGAATTGAGAATAGATCAATGTCACCAGTATGGAGCACATGTATATTGTTAGGTCGAACCGATTACTGGCTGATTCTAAATGTCATTATTTTCATGCAGCAATCACTTTATGTCCCGAATTTAACGATAGAGTCGGAAAATTCAAATTAGAACAAGGTCCTTTCATAATATCAGCATGAAAAAAGCTTTATTGGTCCAGTATGGTGAAATGCAACAATTGTATAATACTTTTCTATTACATTTTTTTCAGATAATATTTTCACACAAAGTACTCAATGGTGGACTTTTATTGTACATCAAATTGTCTTTTGTTTGTTGTCCATAAACATTATTTAATCTTCATTTTCGAAAATGAAATATCAGGTGCAAAGCCGGTACCGTGCTTGAGTATGTTCTGATACAGGAACAAGTAAAGTATGTAATTTAGTACTTAATACCTCTAGAGCATACTACATTTAGTAAAAGAACCCTATCCTTGTTGCACATTGTAGCAATGTGAGTGATTTAAGGACAATTATGGCTCTCTTGGATATTTAGAAAACTGGATTTGTTTTTTAAACAACAATTACCTTCACCTTGTTCACAGACACCTGGGTAACAATTCCGAGTTGCGTCTTGATATTGCTGTATCTTAGTCATAGTCACCTGGGTATTTATCCCCAGTAGCGTCTTGATATAATCTACCCACACACAAAGATTTGTATCACAGACATCTGGTTAGCAATCCTAAGATGCCTCTTGATATAAGCTACCCATACACCAAGTTTAGTGTCAATAGGCCAAAGCAAACTCAAGTTATTGAGCTTAAACTGAATTTTTATCTTTAGTAACATTGGCCTTGGTCACAGACGTCTGGATAGCAATCCCAAGCTGCCTCTTGATATAAGATACCCATACACCAAGTTTATTGTCAGCAGGCCAAAGAAAACTAAAGTTAAAGCGGGAACTGAAATTCAATCTTTAGAAACAGTGACCTTGACCTTGATCACAAATACCTTGGTAGCAACCACAAGCTGTCTCTTAAAATAAGCTACGCATACACCAAGTTTGGTGTCAATAGGTCAAAGCAAACTCCAGTTATTGAGCTGAAACTGAATTTTTATTTAAGTAACAGTGACTTTGACCTTGACCACTGACACCTAGGTAGCAATGCCAAGTTGCCTTTTGATATAAACTACTTACAAACCAAGTTTGGTATCAGTACATTGAAAACCTTGTTAATTAAAACTTTTCTACAGAAATTATACTGATAATGAGATGTTTTGCAGAACAAAATTTCGGTCTCTCTGCCCCCGTCCTTGGAATTAATTGATTTATATAGACTTATGAAGGAGTTTTCGTGTCTGGTCTATATCTTTTAACCGGTGTAAGGAAATTGGAACAACTTGGTAGTAATGTTAATCATAATAAGACGACGTGCAGATCGCAGGTTTGACTTTTCACCAAGATCACAGTAAGTCATTTGGTATCAATTTCACAATGTTGTGTCCGCTCTGTACATTTTGAACCTATTGAAAGAAATAAAAACTATTTGGCAGGAATCTTACTTATATTAAAAAGCTGTGCAGAACATGGGTGTGGGCTTCTTGAGATCAAAATTGGCCCTGCCCCTACCATTGGATATTTTTAAAGATGTTTATTTAAAACATAAATTTCAAGTTTCAATTTTATAGCCATCAAATTACCTTGATTACTTTTTTTAGACAAGCCAGGAGCACCAGGTGTACCTAAATGTAAGACAACCACAGAGAACAGTATAACTTTTTCGTGGACACCACCCAATAGAGACGGAGGTAGCCCTGTCACTAGATATGTCCTGGAGTGGAGAGAGAAGGGTGATGATATATGGGAAACGTAAGTTTGAAGTTTGGGTTTAAGTGAAAACATAATATACAAAACATTTACTTTTAGTTTGACTATCATATTTTTATGTCTTAAATAAATGCTAATATGATTCTTTGTTTTGACATAAGAATATATTGATTTATTCAAGTCAAGATTTTTTACACAGCTTTGAAGAAATCGTTTAACATACAATGCTATAGTTTGTATATCAGTTATATTTTCTTTGAATGAATGTAGTGATATTTCATAGATGTAATGCAATACATTTTGTCTGATTGTGAATTTTCTTGATTACTTCCATTTGTTTGAAATAAAAATCCCAATTACTTGAAATGGACATGTTAAGATCGAATTTTAGAAGAAAATGATTCAAATCTACTCACACGGGCGTCCTGGTAGCACTGGTCAATATTTTATGTGCATATTTTGTACAGAATTATATGTTATCAACCGTTCAAAATATTTGCTTGTAACTTCACTTAGTTATTTGAGAACATTAAAAAGATGTCACTATCAATGGACAATTATTTTAGCAAGGATGTTTTACTTAATTTAGGACTTTTATGATCACAGAAAGTTTCATGCACAACCTTTATAATTGCTGAAGGTTTTCACTTGAAACTTAAAATGTGTTTTAGGGATAGTAATTGGAGAATACCATCAACGGCCATCAATCTAATATAGATTTTAGCTCGATTATTCAAAAAAGTAAAGTTTTTGCAGAATAGTAAGGTTATCCTCGTCGTTGCAGTGTTGGCATGGACGTAACACTTTGGCTGACGTTTTGCATGCAACATTCTATATCATCAACCACTGTAACTTTACACACTTATTTAAAGTTCTTCACTCTCAGAGGCATATATCATTTGCAATTGCCTTTCCATGGCAACCATTGACTTCCATAGCAAGCAGTGACATCCTTAGGAACCATTGACTTCCATAGCAACCAGTTATTTTCCAAAGCATTCAGTGATTTCCATAGCGACCAGGTATTTCCAATAGCAACCAATGGGTCACATGGTATCCAGTGACTTCCATAGTGACCATGGACTTCTTTAACACTAAATTACTTTCAATAGCTGCCAGTGACTTTTCTTACCAAAAGTCGACGTCTATAAAAACTAGTGACTCACATAACAACCATTGACTTTTGGTTGCAACCATTGACTACTAAGCACCCATTATCATTCTGTAACATCTAGTGACTTTCCATACCAACCATTTCCTTTCTATGGCAACCCATTGGCTTTCCATAGCAACCAGTGACTTCCTTGCCAATTATTCACTTTCTATAGCAACCATTGATTTCCATTGCAGCCAGTGACTTTCCATAGCATCCAGCGACTTCCATGGCAACCACTGACTTCTCATAGCAAACGGTGACATCACATAGTAACCATTAACTTTCCATAGCAATCAGTGATTTCCTTACCAACTTTTGATATTCCATAGCAACAATTTATTTCCATAGAATCCAGTGACTTCCATAGCAACCAGTGACTTCCCATAGCAAACAGTGACTTCTTTATCAGTAAATAATTGCCATAGTAACCATTGACTTACAAAAGCAACCAAAGTCTTCCATTACAACCTGTGACTTTCCATGGCAAGCAAACTTCCATGGCAACCAGTGGCTTCCAATAGCAACCAGTGACTTCCATAGCAACCATTGACTTCTAAAGCAACCACAGAAGTTCCATAGCAACCGTAGACTTTCAACAGCAACCATTGACTTACATAGTAAACATTAACTTAAAATAGCAATTACTGACTCTCATAGTAACTACTGACTTTCCACAGCAACCATTGACTCTCTGTAAGAACCATTGACTTTCCGTAGCAACTGCTTGCTTTCCATAACAACCATTGACTTCTATAGCAAACAGTGACTTCATAGCAACCACTAACTTTTTTTTAGCAAACTGTAAATTTCCATGGCAACTAGTGACTTACATAGCAAACATATACTTTATACATAGCAACCAGTGATTGCTATAGCAAACATTTTATTTTCTTAGCAATGAGTGAATCTACCATTGAATTTCATAGCAACCAGTGCCTTCTTTAGCAAAGCAACCAGCAATGTTTTTACACATGCACTATTTCAGATAAATATTTCAATTTTATGATATCAGTTAAAGATTTAGATGTTATATGCTTTCGCTGATAGTTCACAATATTGCTTGTTCCTTGTCATTAAAACGAGTATTTATATTCAGGTGAGGGATATAAGAACAATCATGGCCCTCTTGTTATACTTTTGGCTTATAATGTTATGCACCTGGTCATCCGTCCGTCCATCTGTTAGTAATGTTTGTTTCCTGTCTTGAACCGGTGAAAGAAATTACATATACATGGCACAATTTTAACAATAATGTGGCGATGTGAATAGCGCAGGTTTGACTTTTTTAGGTCAATTTAGGTCACATTTAGTAATTTTGTATCAATTTTAAAAAATTGTGTACGCTATGTATAACACTTGAATCCAATTGCATATGGTGAGATGTCTTAAATATCCATTTTTCCTTTATGTTATGTCAGTACTATATCTTTTGTTCATTTTGTTACACAGAAGCAGTTGTTCTGTCAACCTACTCAGTGTCAACCAAGTCACTGAGTTCACAGTAAAGGGTTTGCAAGAGGGTAAAGAATATGAGTTCCGTGTTGCAGCCTGCAATAATGCCGGGACTGGAGAGTTCAGTAACTGTTCTGAACTAATCAAAGTTCAGTCACCACAAGGTATGATTATTTCATCTTCCTAAATTTTATATCTAAGAATGCATGTGATTTAAAAATATATATTTGGAAGCAGATTGTGATGTTGCAGTGCACAATTCATGAAGGCCTTCTATCATATCACAATAAAAATGTGCGTGATAACACTGATAGTTTTTTCGACATAATTTAGTACGTCCTATTCAAATTGGTTTCAGAAAGTATTTCTTTACTTTTATGAAATTATCTCCCCTTTTCTTTTACAAAGTGGCTATAGCTTTGTTATTTACGAATAAATGGCGCTCATAAATGGAGACAACAGTCCTTGGAGATAGACCTTCATGTTGATTAGAGTGACATCGATCTTGATTCATAAATGACCTTTAATTTTTAGGTCCAGTTATAATAATATATTTTAATTTATCATGGAATGAATACTGATGTATCCTGCTAATTTTTAAAAAGTAGATGCTTTATACACGTATATGCTATTATTTAAGACTAATTTTAGTGCAATAATCATGATAAAACATGCTTTGTACATAACACATTAAAACAAAATGTTCAAATGAACGTTAGTCATATTTCTGTTTAGATGCAAAAAGGAACATGCAGGATTCCTGTTTATTTGATGGTCGATTGATACTTATCGATAGCAACCAGATAAAAATGTTGGAGGAATCATTAGATAAAGAGGCCATAGGAAAAGGTCGAATTGGTACAGTTTACCGTTGCAGTAAGTATATATCGTGTTTGTCATTTGAGAGTTTATATCTTCCGCATTTAATTTTGAACGCATCGACAGATGTTTCTAAATTCAAAATGTTAAAATTTCACTGTCGTTGTGTTTGAATGTTAAATTCTGCTTACTAATCTGGTGCTAGCGAGTGGACAGTAACTTGCATTTTTCAATAACGATCAAGAACAGGCTTTATCAAGCCGGGCGTGCAATATTTTCAGTTTTGTCGCTTTTGGTCTGTTTTTAGCTCACCGGAACCGAAGGCTCAGGGTGAGCTATTAGGATCAAAAAGGGATGCTTCGGCATCCCTTGTCAGGAGTCAACAATTGTCTTCTCTGAAATTGCTGGGCAGATTTACTTCAAATATGGTCTGTAGCATCCTTGTGACAGTCACACTTGAATTTGCTCAAGTCATTTCAATAGGCCCCATTTAGGGATCAACAGAGCTAAAAATAGAAAAAAACCTTTGAACATCTGCTTAAGAACGAATTTCTGGATGATCACTACTCTTTGTCTATAGCATTCTTGGGAAGTCTGTTTTCAAGTTTGCTCATATTAATTCGATTGGCCCCTTTTAGGGCTAAAAATGAAAAAACCTTTTAACAGCTTCTTCTACAGAACAAATTAATGGATGATCACCAAACTTTTTCTGTAGCATTCTTGGGTAGTCTTTTATCAAGTTTGCTCATATTAATTTGATTGGTCCCTTCTAGGGGCCGCATAAGCTAAAACTAGAAAAACCTTTAAACGTCTCTTTCTACAGAACTAATTCCTGGGTGATCACCAAACTTTGTCGGTAGCATTCTTGGGTAGTCTTTTATCAAGTTTGCTCATATAAATTTGATTGGCCCCTTTTAGGGGTAGCTAAAGCTAAAAATAGAAAAATCCTTTAAACATCTTCTTCTAGAGAACTAATTGATGGGTGATAACCAAACTTTGTCTGTAGCATTCTTAGGTACTCTATTATCAAGTTTGCTCATATTAATTTGATTGGCCCCTTATAGGGGCCACTAAAGGGAAAGAAAGAAAAACCTTTGAACATCATTTCCTACTGAAATAATTGATAGATGATCACTAAACGTCGCTTCGTAGCATTCTTAGGTAGTCTTTTATCAAGTTTGCTCATATTGATTTGATTTGCCCTGTTTAAGCTAAAGTTTAGATGCCCCATGTCATGGAATTTCTTCAAATCATGTTTAAACATATTCTATGCTCAAATTTGATATTAGAAAATATTGGCAATGGATAATTTCCAACACTGAAAAGCAGTTGTTTCTGGTGAGCGACTCATTGCCCCCTTGTTTCACTGGTTATATAAAGAGTAACAATCATTAGAAATGTATAGTTTTTTTTCATTTTTTGCTCGACATTTAAAAAAAGTGAACAGGGTATTGTTAAGTCACATCAGCATTGCTGTTGACATATCATGGGCTTAGCGCAAAATGGTTGTAACTCTCTTTTTTCTACAAAATAACATTTTTAACATTTTCAATGTATTTTGTGGTTATGCATATCCTCAGTAAGTATTTTAAATGGATTCTGTAAATTAACAAGTTAAATCAATATTTGTCAAAAGGTTAATTTTCAGCGCAAAATGGTTGTATCTCAAGTTACAACCTTTTTGCGCTGAAATTCTGATAGTGCAATGAAAGTAAATTAGCATTCTGTTTGTTTTATTTGAATCATCACATGAAAAGGAGGATATAAAGACAGTAGAAAAGATTTGTTATGATATATCTAAATAAACCTTAAATATTGGTAAAAAACCAAACTAAATTGTGATTCTATATGATCACATATATGATATTATCTTCATGAAATATATTTAGATGTATATAACAGTATTGTTCAATCTCATTAATTGATTCCAATAAATGAAAAAGATCCAATGCCATAATCAGCAATTTTTTGATATTAAGTAAAAGAAATAACTTTCAAATATTGAAGGACAAATGTCCATATCCCCCAAGCTACCCCAATATACATTTTATAAAATGACAAGGTGGACAGATTTAGCCCCTCATGGATCGAAAATTAGCGCCACACTTATTTTTCACAGGGCAGACAAACGTTTCCATATTTTGAAAAATAAGGCAAGTACATATAGATCTAATTCAGAATATCTTCAATTTATGCTCATAGTAGCAAAACTTAAATTGTTGCAGGCACAAAGTCTGTTCATGGAAAATCTAAGTCTAGGCCACCTAGCTCAGACCCATAACTCTTCAGAAATGCTTTTATTTTTATTTCTCAAAAGCTTCTAAATTTAAGTGTTCTTATCAAGAAAGTTACTCATTGCAAATTACCTGAACTATCTTTTTCATCTTTTGCAATTTTACAGTTACACTGAATAAATAATTTCTTTGTGGAAATCAATACTGCCAGTGCTTTGATCACATTTTGTTACTTTTATGACAAAATTATTTTATATTACATTTGTCACCATTTTCTTCATGATACAAGCATCTTACATTCTCAAAAACCATAATATTATTGTGAATGGCTTAGAAAACTACTATAGTATATCATAAAGGTATGATTAAAAATAAAAGAACGGAAGAGGATATGGGACCAAATTGAAGAGAGGGAGGTGGGGGTGTAATCTCCAACTTTACAGACTAAAGACACACTTTGAAATACAATGAGGAAAAACTGAGAAGGGAATGGACAAAGTGGAAGGAACCAAGACCATTGTTAAAATCCCCAAACAAACCATTGAAGGAAATGACATACTTAAAAAGGAACCATAGAATGACAATGCCTTGAAGCATTGAAATAGCAAAAACTTAGCTTAAGATTTTATAATATGAAGCCTTTTAATAGCTTCTTTCCATATACAATGTAGAATTTGCCTAAAAGAAGTACATATTAAACTCTATATCACAAATTCTGGGTAAGACCAAATTTGAAGAGGACCATGTTTAAATATTATAAACATCCAGTTTTAATTCCGTAATTAGTTTGTTATGCCAATCTATGAAGTCTTTAACCCATGACATTTTGGAACAAAAAATGGTCGGTTCTTGCCACAAGTATAGATCCAGGCCAGCCTGAACACCTGTGCATTCAGTTCAGGTTCTGTACTGTGGACAGCTAAATTTTAGTACCTGTATATTGATTGATTGATTGATTTGATTGACTTTTCCAAAACAAAGCTGGGCAAATCCATTACAGACATTCAGCAGTTTATTTTTATACCTGAACGACAGACAGGGGTATGTTTTTTTCCCAACAATATTGACCATGCATCCTTCATTTGACACTATAGCCAGTAAATTCGGTACTGTTGATCTACTTTTAAATTTTTATGAATGTTTATGATACTGCACGTTTGTAACGTCGCTTAGCATTGGAAAATCATGACGTTTATACAGTTTTATATACACGTCTGCTGTCGATTCATTAAAACATCTAACTTTTTTCTCTAAAAAATAATGCTTGCTTTATTATAAATTCGTTATAAAGATTGTTGACAGGTAATAGTGCAGTATATAAACGGCTGTTTGCAATATAACCCTCGCCTAGCGGCTAGGGTTAAATTTACAAATAGCGGTTTATATAGGGCCATATAACCTGTCAACAATCTTTATAACTAATAATATAACCAGTTGTTAAATGGTCTTAATTGAGAATCCCTCTTAGCGCAACCATTAATTAAGACATTGCCTAAAGACAATATAGACATTAAAAACTCGTAGGTTCGAATCCTGGTTCAGCCAATTTGTTTCTTTTAATTTTAAAATTGCCCTTCTCTAAAAATTCGTTCAAATCATTTTTTGTGTGTATACTATCTGTTTACTTTTATATTAACTTCATCTGTAGTGTGTATTAAAACAATTTCAAATTAATTCAATTCTTGCAGTAATTAAGTAAAAAAACAAAAACACAAGAAGTGTGACTTCATAACGCAGTGTTGGTTAGGAATCAAACCAGAGACCTTCAGATCAGTAGCCCGGCAACTACACAAATATACCTCACCTTACTGACATGTGAAGATAACAAATATATCAATATATTTGTTTGATACAAGTGTTTATTCAATGACCTTTATGAATGTTAATGAAGATCAAGGACAATATTGTTGGACAATATAACCAACCAAAATATTCCCAGAAGTAAAAGAATTTTTTTTTGGATATAGAATGTACAACTGCAGATTTAATGTGAACTGGTCAGTGGGCTGAGGTAATTTAAAGGTATTCTAAGATTTTATGAACTTCCTAGGACAAAGTACATGTAATTGATATTATAACTGAAATTGAAAGGTATAACAAGTAGAAGTTGATTTATCAGCACCCATCAATTTTAAGCTGTGGTCTCCCTTACTCCTGGCAGAGCCCGGGACCAACCCGGTAAGTTACCAGGATGATCCGGGACAATCCGTGGTGTAATTATTGTTGCGGTCACACTAACCCTGGCAGCACTACGGTAATTCCCAACTAACCAACTAGGATGCGTTCCGGACCATCCAGGCAGAGCCCAGGTTAAGCTACAGTTAATGCAGGTACTTCCCTGGTCAATTCAGGTAGACCCCTGGTAGATTGAAAATGCGCGAAAATGATAACATTAAAACATAATTTTTATTTAATTTAATATCTATTGTTCCAGAACAGTAATTCATGATGATTTTCTGAAACATCCTTATGCCATACTGGATAGCAGGGAATAGGAAGGGTTTTAATACAAACAAGTGCAATCATCGCAAATTGTCATGATTCTTTTGAAATGAATTGGGCTTTGCCGGGGCTCTACCTGGATCAACCGTACCTCCATCGTCATCCTCCGAGGCTCTGCCGGCATCCTCCAGGGCTCTACCGGCATCCTCCAGGGCTCTACCGGCATTTACCGGGGCTCTGCCAGCATTCACAAGGGCTCTACCATAGCTCTACTGGCTATATCATACCCCAGATATCCCCGGTTTGTGCCAGCAGAGATTCGGTGTTCCCCAGTGTAACCCCGGCCGTTCCCGGCAGAGCTTAGGATATTGCCTGCAAAGCTTTACTTCCCGGATTATTCCAGACCATCCTGGTGATATTAAATATTATATTCCATCCAGGTTCGAATGCTGGATGTTCCCGGATCTTCCCAAACGTTGCCAGCAGAGTAACGGATGTAACCCGGTTGTTCCCGGTAGAGCTCGGGATCACACCGGACGTCTACTGGGGCTCTGCCGGGATGTCAGTGAGATGGTAGCTTTAAGTCAAGACACATTATGAGGACCTTGTTGTCACAGTTGTTATGGTGTCTCTGTCACATTTCCAAACAAATATTTTTCAAATGTTACAGCTTAAACTCTAAACCTGCTAATGGTGTCACACATTCTATCATGCACCAGTAAAGATCAGAGCCAGCGTAATTATTATTTATACCATTCTATAGAAGAGCATATGAATTTATAATTAACCATCAAAAATAATTTTAGCTTTATCCCTTTATATATTTTTAAATAAAGTGGTATAGCGGCTATATTATTCTCTATTGAGGACATTCATTCTTTTCAAACGTATCACTGATTATTCTTACTTTCATTATTTTCATAATTCAAAACATGACTTGCACTTATTTTATAATCTTATTTTATAATGGCTATATATATTTTATGTGACTAAGATGTAATGTTTTATTTCATCCAATTATTAAATCCTATAAAAAAGATATGAGCTTGAGATTCTTCTGTTTTGCACAAAGAAAATAATTAAATTTGCTCAAAATTTGTGCGGAAAACAGTTGTAACTTGAGATACTACCCTTTTGCACAAAAAAAATATGTAACAAAATATCAAAATTTTATTTGTAAAACGGTTGTAACTTGAACTTATTCAAATATCTTTTAAAAAAAATAATTTGCTTCCTTTTATTATTCTGTTTCTTATTCCTTAACTAAAATGTATATTTTCCTAAAATAAAACATTTTCATTCATTAACAAAAGTTTTAAAAAGTTTTTCATGCTCATGTAAATTTGCTTAAATTGAGTTACAACCGTTTTGCGCTAAGCCCGCGATATTCTGTTGCCGTCCGCAAACCTGTATTTTGATCATAACCTTTTAAGTTATTGGTGTAATGTCTTCAAACTTTGCCACAAAAGCCATTAGGATAAGACCTTTAAGTAGACCACTAAGCTTGCCCTTCATTCATGACTTTGAACTTCCAGGTCAAATTATGCTGTTTTTTTTTGGCTGATTTGTGCTATTAGTGGCTATAACTTGAGTTTTGTTATTTTTGAATGGATTGTCTTCAAACTTGAAATAAGAAAATTAAAAAAAAGAAAAAACACACAATAATTAAAAAGAAAAAACAAGGGATCCGATAAAAATAACTCACAATCAAAACAATTGCCAAAAAAAGGTTAAAAAAAATACTTTTTTATACACACCCGAAAAAAAAAAAAAAAAAAAAAAAATAATATATTAATCGCCTGGTGTCGTCGGCGGTTTCATCGGTCGGTAACAGCGGTCCGTTGCATTTTCCTTGTCTGGACCATAACTTGAAAACTAATAGTTGGAATTCAATACAACTTCATAAAATGGTCAAGCACATTGAGAGGAAGTGCAGTGCACAAGCACCATAACTCCATCTTCACTAATTACAGAGTTATTACCTTTGTTACTTTCCCTTGTCCGGAGCATAACTTAAAAACTACTGGTTGGAATTCAAAACCACTTCATATAATGTTCAAGCACAATAAGGGAAAGTGCAGTGCACAAGAACCATAATTGTATCTAAATTAATAACAGAGTTATTGCCCTTTGTTACTTTTCCATTGATTTCTTTTTTTCCGGACCATAACTTGAAGACTAATGGTTGAAATTCAATATAACTCCATACAATGGTCAAGCACATTGAGAGGAAGTGCAGTGCACAAGAACCATTACTCCATCTTCACCAATTACAGAGTTATTGCCCTTTGTTACTTTTCTTTGTCCGGAGAATAATTTGAAAACTACTGGTTGGAATTTAAAACAACTTCATACGATGACCAGGCACAATAAGAAGTGCAGTGAAGAAGACAACTCTAACTCTGTCCAAAGTAATAATAGAGTGATTGCCCTTTGTTACTTTTCTATTACTTTTTTCTTGTCCAGAGCATAACTTAAAAACTTCTTGTTGGAATTCAATACAATTTCATTCCATGGTCAAGTATATTGAGAGGAAGTACAATGCACAGAAACCATAACTCTTACTTGACTCATAAAAGAGTTTTTGCCCTTTACTACTTTTTATTGTCCAGTGCATATCTTGAAAATTAATTGAAACTTCATACAATGGTCATGGACAGTGAGATGAAGTGCAGTGCACAAGAACCATTACCATAAAGAGTTTGCACTAATTACAGTTATTGCCCTTTGTTACTTTTTGTCCAGTGCATAACTCCATCTTCGGTATTTGTAGAGTTATTGCCCTTTGTTCCATGTCCGGTGCATAACTCAAAAACTTTTGTTTAGAATATAAACTATTGTTAGAATTAAATGCAACTTCATACAATGGTGAAGCACAATGAGAGGAAGTGCATTGCTCAAGAAGCATAACTCTTTCTGGATTTATTACACAGTAATTCAATAAAACTTTATCAATGGGCAACCACATTTAAAGGAAATGCAACATACAAGAAGCACAACTATTTTTAATTACACACAACCATAAGTCGATTTCAAGTCTTTAACAAGGTATTCTATTACTTGTAAGTTCCTCATTTCGGAAACGTCTTGCGAGGGTATTAATCACATTTAGTGATAGTTCTAGTTATTTAATTAAAATGCTTTTGATATACACATTTCAAGTGTAATATGGTGTAACAAATTTCCTGTAAGTAAGGTGGCCTACATGATTTATTTAATTTATGCATTTATTTGGTAAGATTTGTGATAACTTTGTCATACAATTGCTACACACAACCTTTACGGTCACAATGACCTAGTGACTAGTCATGGCCAGTAGATTACCTCTATTGATTGTTTGGTCACTAGGTCAGAAGTCATTCACAATAACCTGGCTGAAGGTATACATGTTTTACAAACATATCTTGTCTAGGCAATTAATAAATATATAACTTATTAACTTATTGACCTTAACTGTCAATGTCAAATTAATGCAAATTTTGTTTTTGTTGTTGTTTTTTTAACTGGCTATTACTTTTTTTATAATGGATTAACTTCATATTTAGACACATTATATTTTGGATCAGGACCATCGTGTACATCAAACTCAAATTGACAATGACTCATGTTTGACCTTGATCTTGAAGGTCAAAATATTCTATTTTCAGTAATTATTGCTATAATTGGCTGTAACTTTGTAATTAATCAAAACAACCTTTTGGCAAGACATTTTAAAGGTTGAAATGACGTTGACCTTGTGCTTTTAATGGCCTTGGCCATCAAGGTCACAGTATTTAATGTTGATTATGTTGTCATAATTTTGCTATTTATGTATGGATTTGAATCAAATGAAAAAAACTCAAACAATTGTGACCTCACAGACATATGGAATAATTTTGACCTTGACCTTTAAATGACCTTGACAATTTGCTTATAATTTGATAACATTTTCATTTATTTATGGAAAGGATTCGTACATGTACTTACACTCGTGGCACAAAAAATATTTGACCATAAGTCATAAGATTGACAAAACAGTGGAGTGTGTGGGCACCCGTTTCCTATGGACACATTTTTAGTTATACTAGGTAAACAAACATTTAAGATTCTTTACAACTAGCAAAATATGCCAAAACAGCCAGTGATGTATCACAGTATATTCCAAGCTGACTAGTTAAAAGTTTGGTTAAATTCATGGAAAATCCATATCACTCAAATTATATCACTCACAAATTAGGTTAACCGCTCTTTGTTTGCGTATGTTTTAAATTATAATTTGAAGGATTCCATAAATTTGTAAATGGAAAGCAATTTTTTTCTTATCACATCCTTATAGATTCATATATCATTACGTCCCTAAAATAGTTAAAAGTGACACCACTAAGATTACCTTTTGTGTTCGCAGCTTCCGTGCAGCCATTGAATGTCGCATGTCCCCATTCATGTGCTTCTGTTGTCTGTTCTTCAATGAAGACAGTCAAACATTACTGCCTTTTTACTTATCATGCATAAAATGAAAGAAAATTTGTTTGTTTAATTGTATATGCTAAATATCACACATGGAAGTATGAAAATATTCACGTTTGTACTTGCATTTTATGCCTTTCATAAAAATATTGCGATTTCTCCACTTCTTGGTGTGATAATACAGCATATTCCCTCAAACCAAACAAATATTATCTTTAAAGTGAAACTTGAAACTTTTAATAAAGGAATTTGATTCTTAAGTTAACATCTAAGACCGCCTCAGTGGTCGAGGGGTTAGAGTCGATGACTTCGAAGTCACCTTTCTGGGGTGGGTTCGATCCTAAGGAGATGCTTTGGTAGTTTAGCGCGGAGGAAGGTAGTCTAGTACTGATGTAACTCTCCAGGAACGATGGTTAGGAAACTACCCGCCTATATGACTGAAATACTGTTGGAAAAAGGCGTAAAATGAAACAAACAAACAAAATCTTTCCACATTTTCTTGTAGTGTTTGTTAAAAGCACAACATTCATTTTTGAATACTGGTTTTCTATTTGTGCATAATTGTTTGGGTGAAATTTGGTCTGCAACTCTCAACACTAGTTATGAACACATAACAAACTGCAGTGTCAAAAATCACAAAAATGTATTCATAATATTTCAAATACAAGCATTAAAAATTACAATTCAAATACATGTAAAAATCAGAGTCATGTATTTATTTCTTTTGAACTGATGAAGCAAACTATACATGTATGTTAGAAGTCTCTATGACGGTTTTAACAATTTCTTACGGTCTTTGTGTAGACAATCAGGACATATTTGGTATTACTGTTGCTGTGAAGAAGATAAAAACTGAGGAACACGCAAACCAAATCAGAAGGGTAACTCATTATTTCTGTGCACATACATTGATCGCAATATCAAATGTCATCAAATAACAAAACACAGAAGTTTTAATTGTCCCTTTTTTTAATGAGTGTTACAGCACCTTCTGGCTTTAATTTTATTATCAATAACAACAACTCTGTATGCCTATGTGCTTTTGTTAAAATTTTCATATTTACTCTTTTGTTTTAACCTGATTGATTACAATATTACCCGTTTACGTTAAAATATTTATACTGATTAAATTCTGTTCATTTCAGGAGAAGATTGTGTCCAGACTCATGAACCCATTTTTACTTCCGCTGTTAGCTGTTATTGAAAAGTCTGATGAGTAAGCTGCAATATTACTGTATTTTTGTAAAGTTTTGATCAGTTGATAATGCTCTATTGATGAAAGAGAAATTAACAATAGTTCTTAAAATTAAGTATAAAACAGTCGACAACAATTATCATTTTCAAAGCATTTGCGTTTTAATGCTGCTTAAATTCGATAGATAATATTTCTAATTATGACATATTTAAAGCTTTGCTTGCTATTTTGTCATTCCGTCAGAGAATGTTGGTTTATATCTCCTTATTGCGAAAACGGTGACCTCTATGAGGCTATAAAAAAGGGTAAAAAGGAGAAAGATGAAAAGAACAAGACAGACAAGATCAACATAAACAATCAGGCTACAAGAGTGAAGATTTTACTGCAAATTGCACTAGCGATAGAGAATATTCACACTGAAGTCCCAAACGTCAGGTATCTGCTTCCATTAAAAAATATTACCTTTCGACAAATATGACAGTCTTTTCCCATGACAGTCTTTTCCCTGGCCTATTTATGCAAAATTTTAGTTTTTTATAGACATTATTACATTTTTAGCTCACAAGAACCAGGTAAAGGGTGAGCTATTAGTATCAAAGGGGTATGCTCCGGTGTCCGTCGTCATGCGTAAACAATTGTCTTCTTCTCTGAAACTGCGGGGCAGATTTACTTAAAATTTATTCTGTTGCATCTTTGTGTCAGTCACACTTGAATTTGCTCATGTTATTTCAATTGCCTTTTATTGGTCAACAGAGCTAAAAATAGAAAAACCTTTAAACATGTTCTACTACAGAACTAATCGATGGATGATCCCCAAACTTTGTCTGTAGCATTCTTTGGAAGTCTTTGATCAAGTTTGCTCATATTAAATTGATTAGCCCCTTTTATGGGTCTCTAGGGCTGAAAATAGAAAAAAAAACCTTTAAACACCTTCTTCTAGAGAACAAATGGATGGATGATCACCAAATTTTGTCTGACGCATTCTTGGGTAGTCTTTTATCAAGTTTGCTCATATAAATTTGATACTCTTCTAGGGGCTGCTTAAGCTAAATATAGAAATACCTTTAAGCGTCTATTTCTACAGAACTAATTGATAGATGATCACCAAACTTTGCCTGTAGCATTTTTGGGTAGTCTTTTATCAAGTTTGCTCATATTAATTTGATTGGCCCCTTTTAGGGGCAGCTAAATATAAAAATACCTTTAAACGTCTATTTCTACTGAACTAATTGAAGGATGATCACCAAACTGTGTCTGTAGCATTCTTAGGTAGTCTTTTATCAAGTTTGCTCATATTAATTTAAATGACCCTTTTTAGGGGTCTCAAGAGCTAAAAATAGAAAATACTTTAGACATTTTCTTCTACAGAACTAATTGATGGATGATCACCAAATTTGGCGGTAGCATTCTTGGGTACTCTTTTATCAAGTTTGCTTAGCCCCTTTTATGAGCCACTTAAGCCAAAAATAGAAAAACCTTTGAACACCATTTCCTACTGAAATATTTGATGGTTTATCACCAAACTGTGTAGCATTATTAGGTAAGTCTTTTATCAAATAGATATATATTAATTTGATTGGCTTCGTTTAAGCTAAAGCTTAAATGCCCCAGGTCATGGCATTTCTTCAAATTATTGTTTAAACATATTCTATGCTCAAATTTATTTTAGAAAATATTGACAATGGATACTTTCGAACACTGAAAAGCTGTTGTTCCTGGTGAACGACTCAGACCCATCATGGCCCTCATATTTGGAGGTGATGTGTAGTTCATACTTTGCATTAATGTGTTTGATGAATCCACATATCTTATATCTTATTTTACTTAGTTTAATTACCGTATTTGAGAAAGATTATAATAGATAAGATACACAAATATATTAATCAAAATTCAGTACCTCTGCTAGGCCAGTAACTTAGTTCGCAACATTTTAAGTATCTGCAATAAATTACTAACATGTTCTAGATTTAATTACTTCATTGTCATTTTATCACTGTTTGTTTCGTGTGACAGCCGCAAAATCACCACACATCCATGTAACCAGGTCTCATGGTTAAGGCCATCCAAACAGCCAACAATATTTTTTCTGAGGCCACTACCGCTCATGAATTAACAAATATAAAAGTGAGAAAGTCATAACCAGGAAATTATACAGCTACTTTATACCACTGTTGGCGAGATTTTTATATCTTCTATTATAGTTGATCACTGCAGTTTTGTGTGTTTGTGATAATGTTTCCTTTTTATTAGCTCGACTATACGAAGTATAATGAGAGCTGTTCTACTCGCCCCGGCGTCGGCGTCCACGTCCAGATTTCAGATTAAAGTTTTGGTGCATTAAAATATTTTTCACTATAACTTTGTCATTTCTTAAGGTATCAACTTCAAACTTCAAATATATGTTCCTAATCATCAACCACATCTTCTGTGACAAGGTTCATAACTCTAGCAGCAATATTTTCAGATTTATCTTCCCTTGAACTTAGAATTTTCCTTCACAAATACTATTTTTACTGTAACTTCTTTATTTCTTAACCCATTACTTCATGAGCATTTTGTGAAAAATGGCTTTTTTCATTGAAAAGTCTCCCGTTACAAGTTCAAATTGCTATAATACTATAAAAACTGCTTCAACACTAATCAAACTTGGCACAAATGTTGACTGGACCATTGTCCTTGAAACAACATGCTCAGGCTAAAATTTTCTGTTACCATGGCAACGAGGGGACATCTCAAAATTGCCAAAAATCACTATTTTGCGTTGATTTTTTCCATCAAAATTGATTTCAAAGTGCTGCAACTTCTCAATGGATTGAGATAAAGTCAAATGCTTTTCAGCGTTGGTTACACGTTACCTTATGATCAATCTGGGGTCATTTATAGCCTCTCACAAGTCCAAAATTTTCTTGGCGATGAGGGCGACTCCGCCCCCTTCAAACCCCCCAAACAGAAGGGGGCACATCCCCCTTCTGGCAACCCTCTGATGTATCTTTTGGTTGGGGGGCCGCGCCGAAAAAGTGGTCACTTTTTCAAAGAACATTTCTCAAACAAAAACAAGTGTTGGGAACCTAAAAGAGGCATTTTTTCACCATTAGAGGCAGCAAAAGGGGGGAGGGGGTGAAAAAGGCGTTAAAAGGCGTGTATATGACGTAATGGGTTAACAGAAAATGATGAAAATACTTGAAATTACCCAAAATCGCGTTTTTCCATGTTTCAACATGGCCTGTCATATAAATTTGAAGAAAATTGATGTTTTGTAGATTTTTTGATTTTTTTCATTAACCCATTACTTCATGAGCATTTTGTGAAAAATGGCTTTTTTCATTGAAAAGTCTCCCGTTACAAGTTCAAATTGCTATAATACTATAAAAACTGCTTCAACACTAATCAAACTTGGCACAAATGTTGACTGGACCATTGTCCTTGAATCAACATGCTCAGGCTAAAATTTTCTGTTACCATGGCAACGAGGGGACATCTCAAAATTGCCAAAAATCACTATTTTGCGTTGATTTTTTCCATCAAAATTGATTTCAAAGTGCTGCAACTTCCCAATGGATTGAGATAAAGTCAAATGCTTTTCAGCGTTGGTTACACGTTACCTTATGATCAATCTGGGGTCATTTATAGCCTCCCACAAGTCCAAAATTTCCTTCTCGATGAGGGCGACTCCGCCCCCCTTCAAACCCCCCAAACAGAAAGGGGCACATCCCCCTTCTGGCAACCCCCTGATGTATCTTTTGATTGGGGGGCCGCGCCGAAAAAGTGGTCACTTTTTTAAACAACATTTCTCAAACAAAAACAAGTGTTGGGGGCCTAAATAAGGCATTTTTTCACCATTAGAGGCAGCAAAAAGGGGTGGGGGTGAAAAAGGCGTTAAAAGGCGTGTATATGACGTAATGGGTTAAGGGATTATCTTCATACCTCTAATATGTGTTTCTTATCATTAACCACATCTTATGCGACAAGGTTCATAACTCTAGCACCAATATAGATTTATCTCCCATTGAACTTAGAATTCCTTTAAAATACTATATTTTACTGTGACTTCTCTTTCGTAAGGGATCACTTCATACTTCAAATATATGTACATCGTCATCAACCACATTTAATGTGACAAGGTTCATAACTCTAGCACCAATATTTTTAGATTTATCTCCCGTTAAACTTAGAATTTTCCTTAAAACTGTTACTTATTTATTTCTTAAGGGATCAACTTTATAATCCCAAATATATGTACCTTTTCATTAACCACATGTTATGTGACAATGTTCATAACTCTAGCGCCAATATAGCAAAGATTATCTCCCCCATAAACTTAGATTTTCTTACTTAAAAAATGTTACTTTTTACTATAACTTTTTTAGTTTTAAAAGTATTTACCTCAAACTTCAAATACTTAACCCTTATCATCCATTATATTTTATGTGACAAGGTTCATAACTCCTGAAGCAATATTTACAGATTTATATTTTTTTGAACTTAGGATTTTCTATAAGAAATATTATAACTTCTTTACTTTTTAAGGTATCTTCTTAAAACTTCAAATATATATTTCTTATCATTACACACATGTTATGTGACAAGGTTCATAACTCTAGCTTGACTTTTTCTCGAATTATTTCCCTTGATCTTTAAATTGATGCTAATTGATGTTATTTTTTTACTATATCTTAAAACATAATTATACATAATTAGCTCACCAGAGCCGAAGGCTCAGGGTGAGCTATTAGTATCAAAGGGGGATGCTCCGGCGTCCGTCGTCCGTCGTCATGCGTCAACGATCGTCTTCTTCTCTGAAACTACTAAGCCGATTTACTTCAAATTTGGTCTGTAGCATCCTTGTGACAGTCACACTTGAATTTGCTCATGTCATTCCAATTGGCCCCTTTTAGGGGTCAGCACAGCTAAAAATAGAAAAACCTTTAAACATCTTCTTCTACAGAACTAATTGATGGATGATAACCAAACTTTGTCTGGAGCATTCTTTGGTAGTCTTTTATCAAGTTTGCGCATATAAATTTGATTGGCCCCTTTTAGGGGTCTCTACGGCTAAAAATAGAAAAACTTTAAAACACTTTCTTCTACAGAACTAATGAATGGATGATCACTGAACTTTGTCTGTAGCATTCTTGGGTAGTCTTTTATCAAGTTTGCTCATATGAATTTGATTGACCCCTTTTAGGGGCCACTAAAGGTAAAGATAGAAAAACCTTTGAACATCATTTCATACTGAAATAATTGATAGATGATCACTAAACGTCGCTTCGTAGCATTCTTGGGTAGTCTTTTATCAAGTTTGCTAACTTGCTAAAGCTAAAAATAGAAAACTTCTATTATTACTGAACTAATTGATGGATGATCACCAAACCTTGTCTGTAGCATTCTCAGGTAGTCTTTTTTTTAGTCAAGTTTGCTATTATTATTTTGATTGGCTCCTTTTAGGGGCCTCAAGGACTTAAAATAGAAAAACCTTTAGACATCTTCTTCTACAGAACTAATAGATGGATGATCACCAAACTTTGTCTGTAGCATTTTTGGGTAGTCTTTTATCAAGTTTGCTCATATTAATTTGATTGGCCCCTTATAGGGGCCGCTAAAGCTAAAAATAGAAAAACCTTTAATCGTGTGCTTCTATAGAACTAATGGATGGGTGATCACCAAACATTGACTGAAGCATTCTTGGGTAGTCTATTATCAAGTTTACACATATTAATTTCATTTGCCCCTTTCAGGGATCTCTAATGCTAAAAATAGAAATACCTTTAAATGTCATATTCTACAGCACTAGATGATGGATGATCACCAAACTTTGTCTGTAGCATTCTAAGGTAGTCTTTTATCAAGTTTGCTCAAATTAATTTTATTGGCCCGTTTTAGGGGCCGTTAAAGCTGAAAATAGAAATACCTTTAAACGTCTCCTTCTACAGAACTAATCGATGGATGATCACCAAACTTTGTCTTTAGCATTCTTGGGTAGTCTTTTATCAGGTTTGATCATATTCATTAAAGCAGGGAAAAAAATAGGCCTTAAGAAATATTAAAATTGTTTCTCCAGTACCTTTTTAACAAAAATGAGTTTGTATGCTTTTTTTGTTATTGAATTTTGTTAAAAATTGTATTTTTTTGTTGGATTGGATTTAAATTTGGAAAAAGCACATTTCAGTAAATTTTGGGACAGACTGGAACCTGAGTTTCATGTGCATAATTGAATTTTGGTATCAGTGGAACTGTTTTTGATATTTTTGAAACCATTGTACATTCTTTCTTGTTTTTGATGTACAGAGACTTGAAATTTGGAATGATGTATAGAGACATGAAATTTGGACCAGGAATGTAATTTCTGATGCGAAACGAATTAAGATATCAATTGACTACTGAATGGGTTTAATTTCTGATCCTGAATTGATATGAATTTTGATATGAACTGGCCTACTTTTGATATATTTGATATCGCTTTACCTACTTTCTTTGTCTTTTATGTACAGACTTGAAGGTGTAATTTGTGTAAGTTTTGATGTTGAACTCAATTTTGATACCAGCTGACCTACTTTAGGTATTATTGTCACCATTTGAACTACTTTTTTGTATTTTGACATTCAGATTTTTAATTTGGACCAGGTTTGTAAATTCTGATGCCGAAATGAATTTTGATATCAACTGAACTACTTTTGATATTTTTATTATAATTTGACCTTTATTCTTGTGTTTTATGACATACAGACTTGAAATTTGGACTAGGGGTGTAATTTCTGATGCTGAATTGAATTTTGATATCGACTGGCCTACTTTTCATATTTCTTTCAATGTTTGACCTATTGTCTTTTTTTTAGGTACAGTTATGTTGCCATACAGAATGAATAAAAAAATTTGTTGTCCCAAACAGTAAACTTCAAACATCTACACCTTACATGTTTTGCATGTGACATTTTGTGTTTTCATTCAAAAAAGTTATAAAAAAAATTGTCCATTTAAAATTAATGCTGCTCTAGTGGTTATTTATTCTTCATTTATTCTACATAGTCTCATAGGAACACACTTGCAACATACATATTTTTAACAAAGCCTGTCCAAAATATTAGGGCAAAATATTTCAATTTATATTGTGAATAATGAAATAATAATTTTTATTAATGAGTATTTTTATATTTTATGCAGAGGTCCGATTCTTCATAAAGACATTGCGTCTAAAAATGTTGTGCTCGATAAATATCTAAATGCACGCCTTACTGACTTCGGATTGGCCAGAGAAAAGGATGACGATATGTCGACCTTGGGAGGAAGAAAACATTATGATCATCCTAAAGTAGGGACTGGATGTGATGAAGACTATTTTGATTTTTATAGCTTTGGAGTCAGTAAGTTTTACAACTTATACAATATAACCTAATTTTAATCAATTTGTCATAATGTGTTAAATTTCGGCACAGTTGACATAGTTTTATGATTATATTTAACATTAACATAATGCATCTAATATGTATGTTACTCACCTGTCTTGAAAATAAACAAATGAGTTATCTTTGCTTGGTAGAAACATTTATAGGCATCAAAACTTAAACAGTATTCTTTACTTTCAATGACATTGGACAAAAGTGTTATAGTTTCCTTTTTGCAAAGGAAATAATAAAGCATTGTGACAGTCATGTTCCGGTTTTTGGCCTCAGTGTTTGAGCATCTATGCTTATGGAAATAGTTTTGTAACAATATTAGAACCAATGCTTCTGGGATCAGTGTAACTAGTTACAAACTATTCACAGAAAGACACACAAAACGTTTGATATGTGTCGAGTTTTCCACACAAAAAAACGACTTTGACCAACTATCTTTTTCAAAACTAGTGCAGGCACTGTTTTCACAAAGTAGGAGATATTAAAATACGTGAAACGAGGGAATAATGCGATGTCAATCGGTTAATGACAGCACCAACTTACATACAATTTTTACTGTTTGCTTTTAGTAAAATGTTCTATTTTAATTTCTAAGTAATATAAATCACATTTAAAATGTGGACAGTCCATATGCAGCTTTTGCAAATTTTGCGTACATTTTAAATATTAATGCATTACACGGATTTGGAGGGATATGAACATCAAAAGCATTACGTTTATTTCACATGGCTATGCATAATTAAACAATTAAATGTACAATGCACTAGTTCTAAGGTCTAATCTAGATTTTTTTGTGATTTAAAGCTTATGTTGCAAACATTCTTTCTTTTGTCAAAATAAGTAATAGAAAGATGATTAATTTGAAAGAGTGGAATGTAGTCCATGGCTAAAATCAGATACCCGAGTGTTTCAATGTTTTTAATGTTTATTGTCTTTTGTGTCATATTCAAACGGTACAACAGTTGTCCCTGCTGCTAAAATATGTTAACCGCAAATTGTAGTATACTAGCAAGTTAACATACATGCAAGAATTTTATCTCTTCATTTATAGAGAATAACATGCTACTGTCTTTTGATATCAATTTCGTCAGGTGAGGCTGATATGGGCTAGAAAGGGGCGAGGGTTTTCTATTTATCATGTAATACATAAAAACTGTCAAAATTACAAAATAATCTACTTTTAAATAGCCAATTCCGTAGAAAGGGGCATTTTTGTTCAAAGAAATAATTCTGGAAAACAAATTCCTCTGCCCCTGAAACATAAAATTTGTAAATGGCGGCCATTTTTTCTTTCGACTCGAGATTATTTCCTGTGATAAAAGATACAACTGAATGTAACACATAAGATTCTTACCTTTAGGCATCGATCCAAAAAAATCCCTAAGAATCACATAAACTGCATTTTTTTCCTTGAATTGTCAAATTCAAAAGTTCACGATATTTCCAATCAAAGAAAAGTAAAATCGGCAATCAAACACAAGCTACACAAACATGCGTCTTGTTAGCTCACCTGTCACAAAGTGACAGGGTGAGCTTTTGTGATCGCTTTTCGTCCGGCGTCCGTCCGTCCGTCGTCCGTCCGTCCGTCGTCCGTCCGTCGTCCGTCCGTAAACTTTTACTTTAGACATCTCCGCATAAACCACTACGCCAATTTCATCCAAACTTCACAGGAATGTTCCTCTGGTGGTCACCTTTAAAAATTGTTCAAAGAATTTAATTCCATGCAGAACTCTGGTTGCCATGTCAACCGAAAGAAAAAACTTTAAATATCTTCTTTTAAAAAACCATAAGAGCTAGAGCTTAGATATTTGGCATGAAACATCTTCTAGTGAGTGTCTACCGACTTTGTTCAAATAAAAACCCTTGGGTCAAAATTGGCCCCGCCCCGGGGGGTCATTGATTTTCCCTACATGCATATAGTAAAAACTTAAAACATCTTCTTTTAAAGAACCCAAAGAGCTAGAGCTAAGATATTTAGCATGAAACATTTTCTAATAGGTGTCTACCAAGTTTGTTCAAATAAAAGCCCTGGGGTCAAAATTGGCCCCGCCCCGGGGGGTCATTGATTTCCCCTATATGCATATAGTAAAAACTTAAAAAATCTTCTTTTAAAGAACTCAAAGAGCTAGAGCTTAGATATTTGGCATGAAACATGTTCTAGTGAGTGTCTACCAAGTTTGTTCAAATAAAAGCCCTGGGGTCAAAATTGGCCCGGCCCCAGGGGGTCATTGATTTTCCTATATGCATATAGTAAAAACTTAAAAAATCTTCTTTTAAAGAACTCAAAGAGCTAGAGCTTAGATATTTGGCATGAAACATCTTCTAGTGAGTGTCTACCAAGTTTGTTCAAATAAAAGCCCTGGGGTCAAAATTGGCCCGGCCCCAGGGGGTCATTGATTTTCCCTATATGCATATAGTAAAAACTTAAAAAATCTTCTTTTAAAGAACCCAAAGAGTTAGAGCTAAGATATTTAGCATGAAACATGTTCTAATGGGTGTCTACCAAGTTTGTTCAAATAAAGCCCTGGGGTCATAATTGGCCCCGCCCCGGGGGGTCATTGATTTTCCCTATATGCATATAGTAAAAACCTAAAAAAATCTTCTTTTAAAGAACTCAAAGAGCTATGGCGAAGATATTGAGCATCAAACATGTTCTAATAGGTGTCTACCAAGTTTGTTCAAATAAAAGCCCTGGGGTCAAAATTGGCACTGCCCCGGGGGTCATTGATTTTCCTTATATGTGTATAGCAAAAACTTAAAAATCTTCTTTGAAAAAACCCAAACAGCTAGAGTTAAGATATTAAGCATGAAACATCTTTTAGTGAGTGTCTACAAAATTTGTTCAAATAAAAGACCTGGGGTCAAAATTGGCCCCGCCCCGGGGGTCATTGATTTTCTTTATATGTGTTTAGCAAAAACTTTAAATCTTCTTTGAAAAAAACCCAAATAGCTAGAGTTTAGATATTAAGCATGAAACATCTTCTAGTAAGTGTCTACAAAGTTTGTTCAAATAAAAGCCCTGGGGTCAAAACTGGCCCGGCCCCAGGGGTGTCATTGTTTTTAACTATATGTGTATAGTAAAAACTTAAAAAAAATCTTCTTTTAAAAAGCCCAATGAGCTAGAGCTTAGATGTTTAGCATGAAACATCTTCTTATGGGTGTCTACCAAGTTTGTGCAAATAAAAGCCCTTGGGTTAAATTGGCCCTGCAACGTTGGGGGGGGGGTGGTTGTGGGGGTTTGGGGGCCTATATACAGGTGAGCGACCTCAGGGCCATCATGGCCCACTTGTTTTTTAACAAAACAATTTGTTCACTTATTAAATAATAATCCTGCGAAATAAAGTAAACGTTAAATTACAAGTTCTCAAAGAAAATCGTCTAGCCTGTTTGTTATGTTTACAAGTAGAAAAAGACGCGGACATCGATGATGTCATTTGCAATATAAATTATGACGTCACTTCATTTAGTTGGTGCTTAACTTTATTCGTAATTGAATCGAAATAGAAATAAGAAATAAATAAATATTTTGATTCAAACCTTGTAAGGATATGAGATAAAATTGTTCAATTCACATGTTGATAAAAAATGAGAATATAAGCAGTTGAAAAAAGTCCTTCAATGGGCGGGGCTTATTTTTGATATCAGATTACAGACCTGATATCAAAAATAATTATCAGGCAAGTGTTATCGGGCGGTTACCATAGCAGTTGCATGATAAAATTAATTTAGTAGACTTCAGATAATTTTGATGAATCTGAATAAGATCATGTTTAAGCTGCTATTATTGGTTTTTTACACCGGTGTGCTGGTATATTTTCCCATATATGTAGTCTCCAGGTTTTTCCCTCCATACACATTTCAAATGAAAAGGTCGCTGACATATGACACAATACATATTGAAATGTTTCATTTAAAATTAAAAAAAAACAGACACAAATGCCAGATATTCACTGTTCAAACATGGGCTTATAGCTCAACTTTAATTTATTGCATGCATTAAATGATGTGTATTTTGAACCCTGCATACTATTCAATTTACACCCGTCTGTTTTTGTTTTTTTATCTTACAAGTTATTCGAGAAATGTTGACTAGCCTGGGACCGGAAGGTGAAAAAAATCATTTCTTAAAGAAAATGAACAGCAATCAGATTGCGGAAAGACTGGATGTAAGTAATTCAACCAGATATTACTTTGTCAATGCCCTTTAAATTATTTTGATGTATTTCATTTAAGTTACAATTATTTCGGTTCTTTTGTTTTCGACGACATAAATAAGGCTACTTTTAGAGTACATTGATGTTCATTCAGAAACTTTATCAGTATTGTATTTTATGACTTATAATATGCCAAGAACTATGCATGAGCAAATGAAATGTATGTCGATTCTTGATATATAATAGCATATCAATGAGACTTCAAAGTCATATGCAAAAATATTAAGCAATAAATTCAAAAGTAAACTTTGCTTTGTTCTGCATTAAAAGACAAGAGTAATGAAAAAATACTTCTAGTAGTTTTAAAAGAAGTATTCCATGTTAAATGCGAAACTCCGACGAAACTCGCATTTTGATCCATTCTATACATCAGTTCTAACTTAAGAAAATGGCCATCTGACAGACTTTTTAACATGCTCTGTCGGGTCTGTCTTAATGAGTTTCAAGAAATTGGCTTTAACTATATTATCATTCCTCAGAGTTTATGATTTTATAGATAAATTTCATGAATATACAGAGTTTGAAAATGTTTTAATAAAGGGTTGAAAGCTATATGCTACAATGTTGTGACAGAATTAACTGCACCATTGGTGTAAACTATGAAGTCATAAGAACGATTGTGTTTAATTATATATTCATTTTCTTCGTGCATTTCGAGATTTGGAAGGAAGAGGTCTTGGAGCGGGTAGTTATTGGAAAGTAAGGAGTAAGACCCATGAGGGTTTAAAATTGTTTTTAAGTTGATACACACAGTCACTCATTTATATTAAAATAGTTTAATTTCTTTTAATTTATAACAGAAAAATGTTTGGAAATGTAAGGAAACATCAGACAAGTTAAAAGAATTGTCACAGAAGTGCTTGAAGGATGATGCTGCATGGACTATCAAAGATTTTAAATCCAATGTGGTTGATAAATTACGGGTATATTTATAAATTTTTTATCAGATAATTGTAGGAAGTTACAATCCAATTCTGAGAATTCTCAAAAGTATTCTTTTGATTATGAAGCTTTAAGAACTTGATGTTATCAATATTGAGAGTTAATTGTTGGGGGGGGGGGTAATTTTTTGTCTTCTTGTTGTCTTTGTTTACTTTTTCAAGGGTAAGGGACATGTTTAAGTAGTAAAAATTCAAAATGATATGAGAAAAATATAACAACTTCTAATTGATCTTTTATTTCTTAAAGTCATTCTGTGTTAAAAATAGAATATAAAATCATTTGTATTCTATAAAGTTAAATTTATTGAATAATGCACAAACAGAAGCGGTTCGGGACTGTTATTTTTAAGTTCCTTTCAGGATATATTTTTGGAATTCCGTGATGAAATATTTGAAAATGGAGGGGAAAGTACGTGTCATCAATGCATAATCAATCCAATCGGTAATTTGTTATTAAACTAACTAAGTTAAATTGTATAATTTGTTCCTATAATTGATTTGTTATAGTGATATTTTAAGACTACAATTTCATTTGATAAATAAACGATTTGAATTCATGTTTTGGAGATATTAAAAAAAAATTAGGCTTTATCATGCTTAAATTTACCCGAAGTCGGTATCAGGTTTTAGTCAAACAAAGGCCAGTTGTGTTTAGATATTTTAGATATATTGTTGATGCAAATTAAATATTTTTAATTAAAAAAGAAAGACATATTTTGTCTTCATTTATCCCTATATACATTGCTGCAGTTTCAGCTGATAAATCCTCCTTGATAAATGATTATGCCAACTGCCGTCAAAAGATACAAGTGTGCATGGCTTGCGAGAAAAATAGTTTCCTCAATCCAATAACCTGCTATTGTGGTGCCAAATTGAAAAGTGCAATAGGTATAAATGTATAGTTTCTTAATTTTAATCATATCAAAATTGCATATTTATAATTATACTTGTATTTGATATTGTTAGTGTAAATCATCTTTACTGAAGCTGCATGTTCCTACAGCTGGTTCCCGTTTTTCTACTTTGAAAATATTTATACACTTTAGCTAGGTATTTAAAAGATATTTGTCTGCACGTTTTACGAAGGAAGCATCATTTCTAGACAATTTTATCTCTCGAAGCTCGAATTCAACATACATATTGTTTGATATATATATATATATAACAAATAATTAAATAAGTTAACTCATGGACTGTGTTTTTTGTTTTAATTATATGTGACTTTTTTCCGGCACTTGTTTTCATTTTTTGTATATATATATATGTTTTAGTTTGTGGTACATATACTTAAATCAATGATCCATCTGCCCTGACAATACCCGCTTACCAAGCACTTCAAAACCCTAAAAAAGATTTTAAATGTAAGATTAAATTTCATTATTTCATTTTCCTTTTTTCCTTGTTTAAAGGCAGTAATTGGGGAGCATTACTTGTCGCTGGTGATGATGATAATCCAGCTAAAGCTGCAGTCATGAAGAAAGAAATACTAGAGTTGGAGAGATTAGTTACGTCACAGGCACCACGCATTATTGGAATAAGGTACTTTAAAATTTATTTTTTTTACTTCACTTCTTAACTTATTACATTTTTATTTGGAATAAATTAATAAAATATTAATTTATGTTATTGTAGGCAGCATAATGTGAAGACGGTTGTACCCAGTGAAAACGATATAGAGAAACTGTCAGCATGGACACAAATTAAAAAGCATATTAAAGCATTCAGTGAAGATAAAGAGATCGATACATTATTGATATACTTCTCATGTCATGGGGAAAGCTCTGTCGAAGGGAATATGTTTCATCTTGGGAAGAAGGAGTATATATCATCAGATGACTTTCAAAAGGAGTTAGACAAATTGAATAAAATTGATGAATTGATTATTTTCCTCGACCGCTGTTTTCCTCCAATGGTGAAATTTACAGATAGAAAGTTTATTCAGATAAATGCATGCAGTGATAAAGATGCGGCTGTTCTAAAAGAAGAAGGCAGCTTGTTTACCAAGTATGTTATTCAAGGACTGAAAGCTAGATCAGAAGAAAGAGAATGTTCCAAGGACTGTCAGCATTGTGTCGACTATTGGAAGCCGAAAACAGAATACATCTCAGTCTTTGCTTTGTTTGATTATGTTAACAACCACTTAGAACGAAAAGCCAATAAACCACATTGGCAAGGCAAAGGTGTTGGGAAAAATATAGCTTTCTTCACGGGGGAAAAAGTAGAAATAAAATTTACCTCAAAAGATGAAAAAAGTGAGAAAAGACATGCCCCTCTGCCACTCAGCTATCTTAAACACTTTGATGAATTAAGAGAACGACTTTTTAAGGCTTTCGAAGGTAATGTTTCTCTTCACCTATTACATTTTGAAAATAACTTGCAAGAGTTTTAAGTAAAGTTATGGCTAAATTTAATTAAAATAGACTTAATTTAAATACCAGAAACACGAAACATCAAACTATGATAACCAGACAAGACTTTTGAGAATTTAGTGAAATTGAATCATTTCTGAATCATCACACGTCTTTCCTATTAACACAGAAATACAATGCTAAAGACTTTCCTCATTTATTTAAAAAAATGTTGTTTGGCAAAATTTATCTGATACTCATTAAATTTCGGACACTATTTCGTTATTTTCAGTATATATTTACGATTTCTTTATTTACTTTATTTTATAGTAACGTCTTTATGGCCTAGTGGTAAGTATGAAAGCATGGCAATCTTAAAGTTGCAAGTGCAAATCCTCAACAAACCTTTTTTGTTCAGATAGCTTTAATTGCCTTTTTTGTAATTATATTCGGTATTAGTGGAACAATCATTTCTTGTAATTTTGGTGTCTTTCCCTAAAGAGCATAACTTTGATATACAGATATATATGTAAATTTTCATAATTTTAACCTGTACAGTCGTTCAATGGGTGATTGGCATGTCAAAAACTTATAATTAGTAGTTAAGTTTAACAAAATATAATATTTTCTATAAAAAAATAAACAAATATAAAAAAATGTTTTTAATGTATAAAAGCAATGTTTCAATTAACATTCCAACCTACAATCTTCATCATTTGAAAGTAAATGTCTTAATTACTTATTACTTAGGCAAGTTAAGCAAATGTTGTTTCGGTAACTTAAGTTATACACATGCCATATGTATACCGTTATGCTATACTTTAAAATCCCTTCTTCGGAATCCGATAATTACCGACAAAAGGTCATTGAATATTCAAATGTCTCAGATCAATATTGCCAAACAATATGATATCGTACATTGTTACATTAATTAAGACTTGTGATACAGAATGTCATTTACTAAGTTACTAAGAGAATAAATAGAGGTTATCCCTTGTCATGTAGATGGCATTTTCAGTTATTCATAAACTACTTAAACTACTTATTAACCTATGAAGTATTACGAGTCTATCATATAAAAACTGATGTATGCCTACTCTGAAGAATGCATGCGGATTCATTTACAATTATGTTCATTGATTGTTAGAAAAGTAAAGAAGTTTGAGAGTTATGATGACTATTTCTTATTTTATACTGAAAATATAATGTTTTGCATTTACCTTGTTTTCAATTTTCAGTTGATCAGAGAACGCACGTAGTCAAAATACAAAAAGAAACATTCAGACAGGATCAACCATACGACGAATGTGACACGTTAAAAAAGGTGATGCAGGCCTGGCTTCAAAGGCTTCCACTCGTGGTTACTTTCACCGCTAAAGGCATTAATTAAAAACAATGAAGATTTGTTGAAATAAGACGTGCTTTAGAGACGTCTTCACACAGAGCTTTTGAGCAGAGACAAGAACATGTTTTATACCTTATAACATTTGTACTATACTTTTTGGTTGTTTATTTGTTTTGTTTTTGTTGTTTTATTTTCAGAGATTGAAGCAGTTTTTTTTATTTCTGGCTGTTATTTTAATCAGAACTCGGCTTTATAGAAGAGCCACAGCTAAGCGGGGCAACGTTTAATTTATTTTACTTTCTTTAAAACACTTGTTGTTTGTTCAAAGTCATAGTCATGTCAATAATATTGGATGATCAATTTTACACCTGAATCTGTGTACATTGTCTTAATTTCATAGTTTTACATCAACGGACAAGAAAGTATGTCACTTCTTCAAACTATCTCGATCAGATGATACAAAGTTCAATTCTACGTCTTAAACAGAGATAATGGTCCGAATTTCATAGCTATACATCAGGTGATAAGAATGTAGTTCACTTAGTAAAAATCAAGGTCAGCTGATGTCTAAAACTAATTTTACATCTGGAATTGGGCATTTACATCAAAGGCCAAGAAAGGTTACTTCGTCAAACAATCTAGGTCAGCTGATATCAAAGGTCAGTTCTTGGACATGATCTTAATTTCATAGCTGTGCATGAAAGTGCAAGAAAGTAGGTCATTTCGTCAATTATCTAGGTCCGCCGATATCAAAGTTCCATTTTTTTCATCTTAAAACAGCGCACATAGTCCGCATGTCATTGCTATAGGGAAAAGGAGAATTTCATTAATTCGACCTTGACGGTAAGGTCACTTAAAGGAAAGATCACATCAACCTTACATTTTCAATGTTTGTTTAATCGGAAGTCTTGTTTGGCCCAATTATAAATCAAGTCCGTACATATATAACAAAATTATTGCAATTTAAGGGATACTCAGGCAAATTAATGAGAAAAATATCAAAATGATCTAAAATACTCAAATCACCCTAAATTGGCATTTTTTTAAAAAGTCTCAACATGAATTTTTGAATAAGTTCTAAAAGTTTTGGTTAGAAGCGTAAATATATTTATATATCTTAAAAGAAATTAAGTCATGTGACTTGAACAAACCCTGGAAGTAACCGTTACAGATATTGTGGATATTTATCTTATTAAAACAAGTATAAGTCATTCAGTTGACATGATTTTTAACGTTGCCAGAGTTCACTGTGACAACTATTTTGAAATCGTAATGCTCTATCCTGACCCACGTGGGTCAAGTTAGGATACCACCGTTTTATTCTTCATAAGGAAAAAAGTTTTGTTCATGTGACTGCCAAGTGTATTCATTTATAGGACACTTGCAGAATAATGAATGAAAAAATCAAAACAAAGAAATGAAACATCCTTCTGTGTTTCCCTTTAACCAAAATTCAATAATTTGACTTTGACTGTCAGTGTAAAGTAAAGCACTAGGCCATCGTCATTTTAGCATTAAAAGACTTTGTCCAAATGTTGCTTTGTCCAAGAATGTAGATAATCCATTTATTAATGACAAAAAAATTAGCATTTTAAACCAAAAATCAGTGAAAACTCATAATTTAATCTTTAAGGTAAAGTTATAAAAAAGCCAAATTAAAATGTGTGATTTAAATATTTCCTTTTCAAATGTGTTAAACTGATGGCATCCTTTCATATCACAAAATAAGATATTTTGTTTCTTTCACCGTTCGGTAAGCTCAAATAGGTAGAGCGTTGGGCTGATCATGAAATCTCTCCACTGGTCCTTTGTTTCTGCATATACAGAAGTTATCTGTCCTTGCGAAAGTGGAGGCAACTAGTACTGGTAAACTGCTTGACAGCATGCCCAGGAATTGAGCTCTGGTAAAGTAAATGTGGCTAACTGCCGTGATCTTGAGTGAAAACTACAAACACCAAATTGAATATAAATATAGGATGTTCATTTACCAAGTATGGTAAATTAGGTTAGCTTTACTTTTTTCATTCAAAGATTTCGCTTGAAGCAATAAGTTTCACTTTTTAATTTACTCTCCCTAGTATGTTTTAATATTATGAAATATGCACACCTTTCGTACTTAGCATATGTAATGATCATTGTAGGCCTATTTCATATATTGTACGTTACTTAACTTTCTAAGAACATTTCTTGTTTAAGTAAATTCACAGGGGGAGGGGGGGGGGCTGTTACACAAAGGATGGAGTTTTATGATATTAAACTTGTCAGGAGTTTTTGTGATAAATGTCACTGAGTTCGTATATACTACAAAAACACTTTTCAAAAATGATAATTTTAATCTTAAATAAAGGTGAGTTTTAGTTGATAAATTAAACTTTAATGACCACCAAGCTTGCCTTACACCTTGTATTATCTTTTTAAAAAGTATTTCATATGCCATTTTTTATAACATTTGATAGTTTTTAGTAAAACTTTCATATTATTTTCCAATTTGCACGTATTGACCTGTTTATTTCTAGTCTTCATCCTTGCCGTACATAATTACCTAATTATAAGGCAAAATTGGAAACAAAGCCTTGGCTAAAAAATTTATAATGATTTTTCAAATGTCCTGGAGTCCTTATGATAACTCTAAAGATGTCCTAGGTAGAGTTCTTATGATAACTTTTGTTAGTGCCACTGTTAGCACGGCACGTTTTAATAGCGTTATTTATTATTATACCCCACACAACAAAGTTGTAAGGGGGGTATACTGGAATCAGCTTCTCCGTCCGTCCGTCCGTCCGGCTGTCTGGCCGTCCGTCGGTTTTTTCTTGTCCGCCCAATAACTTAAGATTCCTTTGACCCTTAGTCTTCATATTTGGCATGGAGGTTAGTCATGATTAGTAGATGACCCCTATTGACTTTGAGGTCACCAGGTCAAAGGTCAAGGTCACAGGGGCCTTGACTTCAAAAAGCTTGTCCGCCCTATAACTTAAGATTCCTTTGACCCACAGTCTTCATATTTGGCATGGAGGTTAGTCATGATTAGTAGATAACCCCTATTGACTTTAAGGTCAAAGGTCAAGGTCACAGGGGCCTTGACTTCAAAAAGCTTGTCCGCCCAATAACTTTAGATTCCTTTGACCACAGTCTTAATATTTGGCATGTATGTTAGTCATGATTAGTAGATGACCCCTATTGATTTTGAAGGTCACCAGGATCAAAGGTCAAGGTCATAGGGACTTTGACTTCAAAAAGTTTGTCCACCCATTAACTTAAGACCCTTTGACCCACAGTCTTCATATTTGGCATGGATGTTGATCATGACTATAAGGTGACCCCTATTGATTTTGAGGTCACTGGGTCAAAAGTCAAGGTCACAGGGACCTTGACAAAAAAAGCTTTTCTTCTTAATTGCTCAAGAATGTCCTTTCCGCATTGTATTGATTTTGACATTTTCACATTTGAAGCATGTAGAATACATAACTGAGCAATGCACTGGCTTAGTAACCTCAGATTTGGCAGGGAGGTTGTCCTTGAGCTCTAAATGGCCACTGTTGATTCTGACAAAGTTATATGCGGGGGTATTCACGCCATGATAGTGGCAGTTCTAGTTCAATAAGGTTATGAATCATTATGAAATGTAGTGTACAAAAAATGAAGATATGTAATGTTGGTTTAAAGTGTATTTTAGTTTCTTACCCCCGTTTCTTGTGCAATGTTTCATTTTAAGTATTTTGCTTAACCAGATTTTGTAGACTGGAAATAGGATGGATGTAGATCATATTTGTAAATGAAAATTATATAACGATATTTATTTCCTTAAAGGAACGTTTGTCAGCAATAGTTAAATGGAATAGTTGTTATTGTTTTATGATGCTCTATATATTGTTCAATGTATTTAAAAAAATTAGATTTCATTTTCATCAAAGCTTTATGTATGAAATTAATATTTCATGAATTTTATTGCATGTTTCAGAATTTATTAGAAGGTCAGTTTTTTTTTGATATCGGACAACTTTAAACATACTCATTTAATGCTCAATTGTGAAACAAGTTCTTGCAACTTTATTCTAACATAGGATGATGTATAAAATAGGGTTCAGATTTGGCTTTATAATAAATAATAACTCTGAGTATTTAGTGTAATACATAAATTAGGAACTAGATATTGCTGTCTTAGTTTATTTAGTTACTGGTCCGTAATTAGTATTACTGTGAAACTATAATGGTATAACAAACTTGAATAGATGTTCAAGTTCTTTGGATATTTTGACACATGGATGCTATCAGAGAGATTAATCTAAGTAGTTTATGCTTGTTCATTCAACAGGAACCAGGTTGTTTACTGACAGGGAATACTGGGACGTCCAATCTCACCAGGTCAAACACCACTATAGTTTGGTTAAGGCAATGGCCACTACACTATACATTTTTTTTAATTTAATATAATTGGTTTTTCATATTCAGTCCACTGTGACAAATGCTTTTAATCAATCATCAGGTTTGTCTTTAAAATTATGTTGCAATTCAGTTACTTACTAAATAGTGGTTAACAAGGATTCGGATTTGTGCCCCGGGCTTTCAGTGCTGCTGTTCTTGGACAAAATGATTGGTCCCTTTCCCTTGTTATTTGTTTTGAATTTCCGGGTTAAATATAATGAAAACTCCTGGATCCACTTACAGTCATGCAATTGTTCTTTAAACAATGCATTAAATTAGATAATAATTTCATGCCTATTTGTTCATCGTCAGCTTTGGATATAGTTATTTATAGAATAGACAAAAATAGATATCAATGAAATGTGATTTTTCAAAGAATGTTTGGACATATGTAATTCAAAAACTTAAGTCCGCCAAGATTTTGGAAAATGATTTTTCAAATTTCCAATCTACTGCACTTTTTGAATCTTTTGAACACGAAATTATTGATAAATTTATCAATACTGTTATATTCGAAACCAAATGGACAATATGGAAATATCGTAACAATTGTAAGCATAATTATTCATATCAACCAATACCTATTTTGTTAAGAAATTTGTTTAATGATATTTAATACCAATTTGAATACAAATGTAGAAATAAAGACGATTCAGTGACAGATTTTTTAAAATACTTGTAATTTGTATGAATATTACCTTTAATGTATGAGACGCAACTCAATTGAAATTACAGATTTAATTCATAATGAGGTAACTCGCTTTTCAACCTTGTCATTCAAGTAAATGATACCTTTACGAATTATATATTTTTCACATTATCTGTACTGCTTCTTATTTTGTAAGAAATCAAATATATACTTGTATTATTGTAAGGCTGATAGGAGGATGCTCCTCGACCCCTAATATGCCAATGATGGGGGAAATAAATGGGGTTACCCCTTAACTGGTCGCCCGAAACTGAAAAAAAAAGAAAAAAAGATATCAATTATACGCTTATGTTAAAACAAAGACTGCATGATCAGTACTTACAAAAATGAATTGATAAAAATATTAAATGATGAATCAGTTCAAGTTATACTGCTATAAGAATAAATATTTGAATATTATCATAAAGAATACTTGTTTTGCTTTAAGCTTTTTTTTATCACATTGATATAGCAATTGGAAGTTTTGCTTGTACTTATAAAAACCTACGAGTATGTTAACTTAAAGAACTTTGTTCACTTAATGTTGAATCTAACTATTATTTCTTGTCATGTTGTCCACTCTATAGAAATCTGTAACAAAATGAATTGTAAAATATCTATTTCATTGTATTAAAAATATAAATGCTTAAGTATTTATGTATTTTTGCTATTGTGATATCTTAGTCATCTTTTTATGTTGTAAATTTGTATATGCCGGTATGCCAATAAACTAAACAGTTTATTTCCTCAAAGTATGTATCTTTATTTAAGAATATTGTGATTAATTTGTGATTATTATTATGTGATATAAATTTTGTTGTAGTAAAAAAAAACAAATTCCATTTAGATTTTTCATTTTCACAAAATAAAGTATTTTGTCTATCAAATTTAAATCTCTGTTATTCATATCACATAAGTCATTTAGCATAGCGCATACATGTAAATGGTATATAAGTAGTAGAAAGGGCATCGAGGGGGAGTACCCAAGAGTATAAATCGAATTGCCGAGTGTTTTGATGTTCTTTCTCTTTTGTATCATAGTTAAAAATAAAAACACGTTCCCTTAGCACGATATGACACCCCAGACAAAAGTAACCAATGAACGAGCACCCGAATACGATATTTCTATCGCGGGTAACTAATACCTGCACCCCAGTTAACCCACTGTGCATGCATATGTATACGATTTAATTCTGACACATTTTTAACAGAAAGGTCCCCAAACTATGATGCCACAATTTAATGGACTTACCTTCGTAGAAGGAAAGGCGAAGTTTGATCTTAATTTTATCCTACGCAAACTCCCTCAGGGCCCACGCAGCTAGCAGCGGTTCGGATACATTTATATCTTAGAACTTACATCATGTAGTTATGATAAAAATTGAAATATAGTTACAGACGGGTGGTTGTGGATGGGTGTTTGAGACCCAGGGAGTTTGTGAAGGTTAAATATATGATCAAGCGTTTCCTGCTACGAAGCCTGCTACGAAGGTAGGTCTAGCTTAATCATGCAATTTTATTTAATACATCACTCCCTCATTGGCACATGTGAATGGTATATAATAGTTTCATTACAGTTTTTACGATAACAACGCTTGTTGAAACGGAAGAATAT